TTCTTTGAGTTTTAATTCTTCCACAAAACCAAGCTGCCGTCATTATAGTTTTGCACAATTTGTGCGCACTCTCTTGCAAAAGCAAAAACTGTCTCAAAACTAATGCGGATCTCTTGGGCTTTCACAGGAAAGCACGTGCGTTTTCATTATTGTGGTTAGAATAAGACAAATGCAGATGTACCTCTCCTCTGTGCACAGCTGAGGGTATGGTTGCTTACTGCAAACTTCTTCCTTCTGAACTGTTGTATTTTGAATGAAAAATCAAGACAAGTGTTGACTCGAAACAAACAGTTCCTCTAAGGCAAAGAGGAAGTAGTGCCCACAGATGCATTGTTATTGTTAAGAGTTAGAAGGATGGAGACTGGTGTGAACTTTTGGTGGACCCTTAGATGACTGTGTGTTACATCAGAACAAAGGATCGAGATATAAAAAAATATTTTCAGTCATGCTGGTGTTACACAAGCTGGATTGGGTCATGATTGCATCAATAAGGCTGAGCACATGTTTCTTCGGCTTTCTTTCAAAAACATGTTCAATGGCCCTGGTCAGGTTATTCAGAAATGTGCAACAGGAAAAGCCATGTTCAATTTCTAAAATATGATCTGTCTAAGGTCATGCCTCTTTAGATGCCCTTTCCGAAGATCTTTTGGGTGCACCAATTCCAAAAGGAAATTTACATGTTCCAAAATTTGATGAAACAAGGAGTGAATTTTAATCTAAAACTTTTCCAGCTCAGCAGTTCTAAGACTAATTCTTCCATCAATCCTAAAGGCATTGAAAGATACATCTGAATAGCTAGGTATGACCTTTGGCATATCATACCTTGGAAACAATTTCCTCTCTATAGGCACACTTAGTAAAGGTTCCCCTTCACATTTAGTCTAGTTGTGTCCAACTCTAGGGCATGCTGCTCATCCCTGTTTCCAAGCCATAGAGTCAGTGTTTGTCCGTAGACAGTTTCCATGGTCACGTGACCAGCATGACTAGACACGGAATGCCGTTACCTTCCCACCAAGGTGGTATCTATTTGTCTACTCGCATTTTTTGATGCTTTCGAACTGCGAGGTTGGCAGGAGCTGGGACAAGCGATGGGAGCTCACTCCATTGTGTGGATTCGATCTTACAACTGCTGGTCTTCTGACCTTGCAGCACAGAGGCTTCTGCGGTTTAACCCACAGCGCCACCACGTCCTATAGGCACACACAAATGCACAAATATACATATTTTGAAGCATAGCTGCATGAAGTGTGTCTTAGATAGGTTTCTTATCAGTCAAGAAATTATCTCCCACAATCTCCTTGAAGCTCTTTCCAGTATGCAAAAAGGGGGGAGGCAAAACAAAAAGTGTAGTGGTTAACTATGTGTGTGCTGGGCAATGAGATTGCTAATATTCATGATAAGAATAGGCATATGCCTTTCTTCCTGATGTATAAATTGACAGAAATTAACAGATGTATCCAGTTGATTCAGTGAGCCGGCAAAAATATTGTTTTAAGATTGTGTTTTATAACAATTTACTGAACTTTACAGATTTCTTCCTATTCAGGATGGAAAGAACCTGATGATTTAAAAGAAATCAACTTTCAGTGCATAACGCTTTTTTAAAAATCCAAGTTTGTATCACTGTATCAGTGTTGCATTATTATTGTTGCTATTTATTTGTGTGCCTGCCTGTCTGCTCCTGAGAGCTCCTAACAGTTAACAAGATATATATGGCACAATGTGATCATCTATATCCTGGCAGTAGTGGCACCTTCTGAATTTGCCCAACACAAAAGGGAAAGAATTTCATTCCAGTTTGTTTGGAAAGAATTTTGCAAAATATGCAAATTTCTTCGTATTCAGAAAGAATGAAGTTGGAAATCAGGGGTGGGGAATCAGACATGAGAGCAGACAAAATGTATAAATGCATGGACCCTGCAAATCGAATACATAGCCTGAAAGCATATGGTTGAGCAACCCTGGCTCTCAGCTAGGGTTGTCTTTCCTAATCTCAACTCTGCTGCTTTGCACAAAGTCACACCATCTCTAGCTCTATGCAAGGATGTATGTTACCACCTCTGAACAATTTGATATCATTAATTGTTGGTCCTTTCTGCATTTTATTCCTACACATTGTCCTCTCCTCTAGTATGTATTTAAATATTTGGCAGCAGATTCAATCTGTTAGTCTTTAAGGTACTGCAACACTCTTTGGTTGTTTCATTTCAGATAAGAGTTGAAATTGTGTTGTTTAGTGTAGTAAGTTACAACTAGAATAGGTCCATTAAATCAGTGGGGATTTGGAGAGTCAACTCCCCCATAGGTTCCATTGATTCAAATGGGCCTACCCTAGTTGTAGCTTACTACACCAACCAACAGGATTTCAGCTATTTTCTTTCTCTAACTCTGATAGTAACAAATTAGTATCCATTTGAAAGGTATCTCATTCGAAAACACACAGAGAGCACCAAGTGTCACAAGACCATGCCATAAGCATGGCTGCCCATTGAAGAACCACCAGCCAATCACACCCTGAACTTTAAGCCAGCAATCCATGTAAAAAATAAATGAGTTTTCAGCTGTTATAACAAGTTCATATAGCTTTCATATTTTGAAAGCCACATTTGAGAAGAGGGGATCCCATTCTGAATTCAGCTGGATGAGTCCCATTATCACCACTGTGAGCTCACCTTTGTTCTGGTTGCATACACCTTGGTACCTACAATGCAGTGCCCAATGTTTCTCTCAGTGAATCACCCTTTTTCTGTTTACCAGAAGGTAGTCATGAGAACGTATTTCTTAAAATATTTCCACACCTACGACTTACACACTCATCTTTCCACACAGACCCATTGCCAGTTGAACAGGTGTAAATATTCAAAATACTGATCATCTGAAACAGTCAAAGAGCTGAGTAACATCACTGGAATTATTATTTTTATTTCCCCTCTAATACAAAATGAGCAGTTAAAAGATGCATGATACAGAGAACATGTTCTGTACAGTATATTGGCTTTATGTTTATTGGCTTTAATGGATTTTTAACTTGTTTATCATTTATATCATTTATCACACAGACGGAAAAAAATTTTTGGAGCACTAGAAAATAGTTCAACTTGGTTTTAATACAGGCTTAATAAGCTGGTTGGATAGTTCAGTAGTTTAGGTATCAGACTGCAGAGCCAGAGGCTGGGAGTTCTATTCCCCGCTGTGCCTCCTGAGAGTAGAGCTAGCCTATGTAGCCTTGGGAAAGCTGCGCAGTCCCAGGAAGACCCCAGAAGAAGGGAATGGCAAACCACTTCTGAGTTTTCTCTACTTAGAAAACCCTGGAAAGGTTGAACCTGTTGCCAAATAAACCAAAACTGACCTGACAACATGCAATTTTTATTATTAAGAAGAAGAAAAATGTGATCCTATATAGTCCTGCTCTGAAAAAGTTGTCAGCATTTCTAATAGGACTTACTCCCGAGTAGCTAATGTGGTATCGTGGATAGAGTGATGGGACTCAAATCCCTGCTTGACCATGGACATTCACTGCTAGGGATGGAATTGGTGAAACCCCTCCTTAAATATCTCAGTTATCTTGAATACCCCATTAGAGGAACTGTAAGCTGGTTCGAACTTGACAGTGCATTACACACTCCTCAATAACTATGCTTATGATGGGTGTCTGGAAACATGGGAAATAATTTAAATGATTTTATCAGAATCCTATTGGTGTTTACATCAGATTTGCATAACTTGCCACGGCTAATGGCAGCACACTGACACGGTATCATCTGGAGGAAGGCAGGGCCTGTAGCCCTTTGATCTGTGGCCTTTCTCTTGCAGCAGCTCTGACATAAGATAGAAAGACTTCCTGAGTTTATTATCTCGTTAACCAACGTTGGCGGGAGACTTGAGTTGTGTCATATGGCATTGCAATCTATTGTGTTCTGTTGTTTCTTTACTTTTCTGAGAGCTGGGGATGTAGGATGCTATGCCTTCATAACCTACTATTTATTTATTTATCTTTAAAATTATTTCTCCATAGATATGATGTAAGAGTGGAATTCTATCTCAAGGAAGACACCACTCCCTCCACACACACACATATACACACAAAATGTGGCTAGCACTATCGGTCTGTCTTATCTTAAATGTGTGCAAACAATAAATTCTGAATAATCCAGGATTATATGAATGCTTGCATCCACAGATACCAAAAACCATCCTCATTTGTTTTAGCCTCACTTTACTAAATACTTTATTGCCTATACTATGGGTTCATCCTGCTAGAGGTACGTCATGGATTATATTTTTTATGCTTTTTTGTTTTCTTATCATTTCAGGCTGAAATTCTAAACCATCTTCCTGAGAGTAAATCTCACTGAATTCAATGAAACTCATTTCTGAACAGACATACTGTACATACTTGACACTTTCTCAGTTTCTCTGCAAACTTTCAGACCTGTAGAAGCTGCTCATTCCAGAGCGCAGGGAGAGTTGTCATTACAGCCCTCATAGAAGAGACTCTGATAACTGGGATGGATCAGCATTTGGAAAGGTGTCTCTTTTTTTGGACAACTCCCAGAATTCCCCACCTAGCAGGCTCAGCCGCCATACTGAGTGGAGGATTCTGGAAGATGTAGTCTAGAAAAGTAACTTTTCTAATTCTGAAGATATGGATGGCCTTGGGGGGAAAGGGAGTTGAATATGGAGGGGATCTCCCCCCCCATCCCACTCCTTACACCACAAAAAAGCCTGTTAAAAATGTCTAGTTTCTTTTTTTATTCCAGGTTTTCTCATATCTATGAATAATAAAAGTAGAATAATGGAAAAGTTTGGAAGGAAGCAGGCAAAATGTTGAGTGGCAAATGTACCCAACCTGTTTTGTAACATTCCAAGGAGGTGGACACCCAGATTTGGCAGTCTTCCCAGTACAAATACACCCTTCCCAGGATGGATATATAAGCATCCAAAACTTGCGCCACATAGACAGTAGAGTGCTGTTACTGGTTAGTTCTAATTTTGGATGAGCATAATATTCTACTTTTCCTTGCCTACAAGGGGAAGGAAAAAAAGAAGAGAAAGAAAAAGCGGTAGGAGTATGGAACACCAGGAACCAACATCACAGGGAAGGAGGAAATTCATAGGATTGGGTTTTTTGATGTTTCTACAGATTGTGATGGGTAAGTAGTTAGTGCAGGAACAAATATAACTTTTTTGAACTGTTGCCGTCTGGCAGAAGATATAGAACAATTAAGACTCGGACCACACGTTTTCTGAATAGTTTTTATCCCAGAGCTATAATTGCACTTAATAATGAGCTTAAAGATCACCAGTAGTGAATAGTTAGTTGGACTGCGTTACTTAGCCTGCGGTGTAGATGTTTGTATTTTTAGTGGGGACTTTTAGTGGGTGGGGAGTGTTGGGGGATTTTTTAGTGGGTGGGGAGTGTTTGGGGAATTTTATGTGTGTGCATGTGTCTGGTCTCTGGGTGTCTGTAAATTTCATTGTATGGGTATACTGTGTATATGCTTACAATGACAATCAATCAATCAATCAATATTTCCCATTCATGCAAGGAGAAGCAACCTCTGACTTGAGCAAGTGGGTTGTTTCATGATGGATTTGTGGAACTGTAGTCCAAAAAAAGTAACTTTTCTGAACTTTTGAGGAAGCCTATTAAAATATAAGGGGGTTCTTTGCATATAGCTCTCTCAAATGTTGTGGTGGCCTATGGGAGGATTAAACAAGGGGAAATCAGACAACCAGGTGGTTGGTGGTAGTTTCTGTTAGGAAAGGCTATAGTTCTCAGCCTCAGTTGTGTCACTGTCATTGAGTCAGCCATCTAGAAATAGAGGATTTTAGGAGAAGAATCCCAGGGTGGGCCAGATTGGCCACTAGGGGACAATTTGTGTCACTTGAAAGCATCTACTGGCTTCTCCGTTGTTTGGATCTGTCCCATTTTCAAATATGACCGAAATGATAAAGACTGTAGCCTACTTTTCATTCATAAAGCATGGTGTTGTAAAGTACCAGATTTTTTTAAAGGTGTTGTTGTTATATGTCATCATGTTTCTTCTGACTTAGTGGCAATGGTTTTCGATGTATGTTAGATGCTGAAAGAGTGGTTTACCACCTTCCAGTGAGTTTCCATGGTTGTGTAGGTATTTGAACCCATTTCTCCTGAGTTTTCTCCCTATGCTCCATCCACCATGTGATAATTAAATGTCTGCCTTGCCTTTCTTCGTGTAATTTTTACCACATGTTTTGCTGCATGGACTTGAAAGTCAAGATGATGGGACAACCATTTAATATTATGTTGATTACTTGAGTGCATTGCCAGAATTCAGGCAGGCACACACCTCATTTGCAACAGTGGGTTGGTTAGCTTTCCATGTTCTCCATAGGGGTTGAATTTATAGTTCTCAGCCATAACTATTGTATTTAAGAGAACTTTACCAATAGTATTTTTAAAAATAATGGTAGGAGTCAAATATTAAAATAATGGTAGGAAGTGGGAGTCAATTTAATGAAGATACCAACAATGCTGGACTCTGAAGATGTGGCTGAAGATAATTTAAAGATTCCTGAAGACTTTTTCTGCTATTTTCATGTGCTCTCAAAACACTTCCAAATCAGGGAGACCCTGAACATTAGTGACCTCTGAGAGGCCCTGTCAGTAACAGTCTTGCTCACGTCATACAAACTCAAGATTGTGCCTTTTATTAAGTCAATCTATCTCGTATTTGGTTTTCTTTGCCTGCTGTGTTCAAGTTTTTCCAGCATTATTATATTTCCCCATGAGTCTTCTCGTGATGTGTCCGAAGTATGATTGTATCAGTTTAGCCATTTTTATTTCTAAAGATAGTTCAGGCTCGATTTCAGCTATAGCCCATTTATTTGTCTTTCTGGAAGTCTATGGTATTTGGAAAGCTTTCCTACAGCTACCACATTTTGAATAAATCATTTCCTGAAAGCATTGTCCAACTCTGATGCATATAGATAGTAACTGGAAATATGGCCGATCCTGGCCTTGGCCTCCAGCGACACAATCTTACACCTGAGGATCTTTTCTAGTTCCTTCATAGCCACCCTTCTGAGTCTCAATCTTCTTCCAACTTCTTGGCTAGAGTCCCTTTTTGCATTAATGCTTGAATGAAGATGTACAAAACCTTCAACAGATCAAGAATTGTTCCACCTTCTGTACAAGTATTAAATATATGCCAGCCTGCTTTCCATACAGCAATTTAACTGCAGCTCACTGGATTCTGAAGTAAAATATATCTTTGGGAGTAGCATTCAAATACTATGGAAGTGCATCCTGAATCCTGACAAGATAATATCTGGATGGACATTCCTAAAACAGCACAAATACCAAGACATTCCACTGTAGATTCTATTGTGACATGAATACAGATACATGGTCCTATTATTACACAGTGTCTGTTCTGACCTTGTTGCTTGTTGGCCTTTTGGCTGAAATATTCTCACTATGAGTTAATCAGTTCTTATCCATTTATTTCTTTTAGGTGTTATGCCAATTTCTGCTGATATAGGTGAGTAAAATTCTTATTTTGCTGCCATTATATCCCCAAGCCAGTGTTTTATTGACCAGGCATCATCTCATCAAAAATCCTAAAGAAAGGGAATCTGCCATGGAGAAGAGCTGTTTTAACAACAGAGCTCTATGGGAAATCCCAACCTGTAAACTATAAAATGGGGAAGAACAACAGTGTTTCATCTTGGATGATAAATCTCTAGCATCTAGAGAGGAAGAAGGATGTGCTGTAAGAATGGATTATAACCTTCCATTCTAATGACAGATTCATTATCCCAGTGCCAATCCTTGTGCAGGGAAAATGACACTCCCCATACATAAGAAAAATGAAGCAGCAAGTCTAGAGAATAACAGACAGAAATGATTGGGGAAAAGTCACGAAGAAGGGGAACCAGAAACAGAGGATCAAGAATCCTTAATGGTCAGAAAATGCTGAGTGTCTAAAATTGCTGGGGTCGGGAGAGACAATGCAGTGGGAAAGAGCTTCGCTGGTTGGCTGACTGGCATCTGAAATGAAAGCACTCCACAGCCTCACTGGAACATGCTGCAGTTTCCCCATGCATGCATGTGAAAAAATATTTGCTTGATCAAATCATAGTCCATCTATTCCAGCAACCACCTTCCGAATCAGATGTTGTCAGGAGCTCCTACCATCATTGGCTGCCCTCCATGATTGGCATGCCATTGTACATTGCCTCTGGAGCATGAATGTTCCATTTAACAGGCATTAACATCTGCACTGTGCAGTTATATCAGTTAGCTACTGCATGATTGGCATGGCAACATCCTATAGACTCCTGAGAGTTGTAGTTTAGTGAGATACTTGGAATCGTTTGCTAGAGAATAGCGATGGAAAGAAAATGTGCTAATTTCCTTGTCCTTGTCTGCTTTGGTTCTCTCAAGAGGATGAGACAGCTTGAGAAAGAGGATTTTTGCAAGGTTCAACCAAAAGCAAGACAAAGAGCTCTTTTTTTCACCCTGCAAAACCTGCATAATTTGTATCTAAAGTCTCTAATCTACTTTCCCTTTGAGAAATAAAGCACAGACACACACAGCAAGTACAGAATAATTAACTGAGTGTTAAAAAATATATTAACAGCCCATCTAGTGCTACACATTCTTAAATAAATCATCCTAGTTTTGAGCAATTCATACAATTTGTAAATTGCTTCACATTGCACAAAATCTAGAAGATTATGCATACAAACCAGGAAATTTTGCCCAAAACATCATTTTTACCAATGCAAGACCTCTATTGAAGCCTTAGGGAATTCATCACTATCTTCACTGGCAAAGAGAATAAAATTACAATTCTTCATCCTTCCAATGCCTTCTCCTTGCCTGTGATCATGAATCAAGTAACGATTTGCATCCCTACTATAAAATGCTAATGCACCCCTCTGACCTACAGCACTACAGCTTTCTAGCAGACAATTCTAAGAACCTCACCAGACTGCAGATCCCAGCATTCTTTAGAGTGAAGCAGTGGCAATTAAAGCAAAAAGCAAAGTGTGCTGCTTATATACCGCCCCATAGTGCTTCAAGCACTCTCTGGGCGGTTTACAAGTTAATTATGCAGGCTACACATTGCCCCCCCCCCCACAAGCTGGGTCCTCATTTTACTGACCTCGGAAGGATAAAAGGCTGAGTCAACCTTGAGCCGCTACCTGGGATTGAACCCCAGGTCGTGAGCACAGTTTTGGCTGCAGTACAGCGGTTTAACCACTGCGCCACGAGGCAAAACAAGATTTTGTCAGGTGAAAAAAAATGTACACTGATAAATGTGTGCAAAAATATATACATTTTGAAAAATACACATTTCTATGTGCGAAGAGGAAACGTGTTTCATAACAAGAGAACTGCGATAGGACAAGCAGGTTAGTCAGATTTTGAGAACCTGCTACAAAAAAAGGCTGAATAGGTCATCAGGCCTAAATGCTACCCTGAACTAGCTCATTATTTGGATGAGAAGGAGCCAGAACTTGTCCCTTTTTTGAACTAAAGTTTCATATGTCATTCCTCCAGTTTTTGGCTGCGGTACAGCGATTTAACCGCTGTGCCACGAGGGCATCAGAGTGCTCTTAGTTGCACAATATAGATACACTCCTACTGACAAACCATGACTAGACCTGTCCTAATAAGTAATGCTTTTTCTCAGTATGCGGAAAGCAAGGTTTTCTGAACCGGATCGTAGGAGGGAAAGACTCCCAAGAAGGAGAATGGCCTTGGCAGGTCAGCATCAAGCTGAATGGGGAGCACCACTGTGGTGGGTCCCTTGTCACAGATCAATGGATCATCACTGCTTCACATTGCTTTAAACTGTAAGTATGATAAAATTGATACCTCTTCTCCCGTATATCAGGCCCAAACCAAAAGGAAAAGGAAAAAATAAAGAAGACGAAAACATGGTGGTGCCTTAAATAGTGACTGCTATATTTTCATAGGAGCTTTCATAGACAAATCCACCTCCTCAGACAACTTCTTCAGTAATATCATCATCAAAACACAATTCCATTTATAAATTGCACTTACAGTTCGCATGCTAAAATCTGCTTGTAACATATTTTAGAGATGTGTTAAACAACAAGATCATCATATTCGTGAAGACTTTCTAATGGTTGTTGTGGTTTTTTTCAGGCTCTTTGGCCGTGTTCTGAAGGTTGTTCTTCCTAACGTTTTGCCAGTCTCTGTGGCCGGCATCTTCAGAGGACAGCACTCTGTGCTCTGAAAATGCCGGCCACAGAGACTGGCGAAAATTTGTTCATGTCTAACTGAAGTCTGTTATATTTTCTCAGATCTCTTTATTTTGTATTGTTTTTCAGTGTTTTTACTGAAATTTTCTTCAGCAACACTCTGTCTCCTGTCACAACAGGAAGAAGGATTCCCTCATATTTTCAGTGCCTCATGTCTCCCTCCCTCCCTCTTTATGTTTGTAGGTTCAGCAAAACATCCAATTTCACAGTCCTGCTTGGAGCTCGGAGGCTCTCAAATCCAGGTCCTTATTCTGTCACAGCTGCTGTGAAACGCATTGTCCTCAATCCTAACTATGATGCAGGGGGGATGAGAAGTGGAGACATTGCACTTGTACAACTGAAGGACCCCATAACATTCTCCAAACGAATCACCCCCATATGTGTTCCTGGTGCTAATGTCTACTTTCCCCCTGGACTTAAATGCTGGGTCACTGGCTGGGGGGATGTGCAAAGCAGAGGTAGGTGCAAAGAAGAGCAGTAAATCTCATACCTATCCAGCCACCCACTTTGCTTTTAAAAAAGAGGGAGGCTTTTACAGTTGTGATCCCTAGCATCTGGAACTTCTGTTGGTGTAGGACCACAGCTCTCATCATCCCCTGAGCTTGGCCTACATTTTGAGGATGATGGGCATGCAACAAATTTGGGGGACCTGGAGTTGGGAGTATGGTTGAAGAAGGCATTCATTTCAGGCAACAGCTGTTGGGAGGTGACTGCAATGTGTGGATGAATGAACTGTGCAGCATGTGGCCGTCTTGGCATCTCCAGAATTCAGGAAAGCTATTTTGGTGGACTATAGCTCCAACAATCCTAGCTGCCATGAAATGGGGGATTCTGAGAGCTATCATCATGTTGGTGTAGGACCACAGCTCTCATCATCCCCTGAGCTTGGCCTACATTTTGAGGATGATGGGCATGCAACAAATTTGGGGGACCTGGAGTTGGGAGTATGGTTGAAGAAGGCATTCATTTCAGGCAACGGCTGTTGAGAGGTGACTGCAATGTGTAGATCAATGAACTTTGCAGCATGTGGCCCTCCTGGCATCTCCAGAGCTCAGGAAAGTTCCTTTGGTGGACTATAGCTCCAACAATCCCAGTTGCCATGAGATGGGGGAGAGCTATCATCCCAAGCTTTGTGCACCCTTGGACCTGGTAGGATGTTGTCCTTTTACTAGTACTGGAGAACAATTCCACTTCCAACCCAGCTGATCTTTGAACATGGAAGTGATCTCTGTCTTGTTCTTTGCCTCAGGCAGTGCAATATATCAGTTGTTGGAAACAACTAATTAAGAGGAGATCTATATTGGAACTATCAGTTCGTTTAACATTCATTCTCTCTTTCTCTGGGGAAAGCTGGAAGTTGTCATAATGGTGGCAGAGGCAGCTATTAAGAATTTTTAATAGAAAATCATTCAGTGCCCTCACTAAGCTCATGTTCCGAGGATTCTTGGAACAAAGCCATAGCAGTTATAATGGAATAGCCATGTCTCAGGACACAAGTGCCCTTAAGCAATAAGAAACTGTAGTTATTCAGGCTGTGTTCTTGATAGATTAATTAATCCCTGACCGTACCAGTTCACAAAACTCAGGTACTAGTACCGAGGCATTTAATATCTGGCAGGACTATAATGCCTTTCACAGTTATGTGATAGCAAGGTTTCATCTTTTGCCATGTTAGCTTGCTCTGAAGGCCAAATCGTTCTTTTGCTGTTATATAATGACAAGTGGAGACAAAGCCAGTAAAGAAATCCAGCACCAGCTGCTTTTGCAGCCCAGAAAATGCTCTACTTGTTGAATTTCTGCTAGTCAGACAGTTGTTAAGGCAAAGAGATAGTAACTCCCAGTTCTGTCCTACTACAGGGAAGAGCACCAAATAGCTTACAACAAAAGTGATAAAATATATCCATTAAGTGTTTTGCTTTAATACCTAACAGTTAGTTTGTACCCCCACACTTATAAAAGTGACTCACAAACAGTTAACTATTTAAGTAAAACATCTAGGCTTCCACCTTCTTTTGTTGCTGCGGTAAAAGTGGGAGGAATGGCTAGCCGGAGCTCAGTTCAATGGGAGCTGCAAGGCATTATGAGACTAAACCAATTCAAAGAGACACAAGGAAGCCCGATGTGGTGCTCAAATTGAATCAGGGCTCTCCAAAGCACCAAATACTGCTTGAACACTTCAGTTTTAAAAGATGAAAAATTCAGCCCCCCAAAAAGGTTCCAATCCCCACATTAGACCAAGTAATCATCAGATCATTTCGTACAGCAGTTCAAATTCTGTGTTGCAGAAATCCAGAGAAATTGAAATGTTCTCCCATGAGCTTCCAAAAGTCACTATTTTTAATGGTTCATTGCATCTGATAACTTGATACCTCTTGTTTTACTCTCCTTATAGAAAGGTATGCAACCTCAGATATACTTCAAAAGTTGGAAGTTCCCATAATCAGCACAAACAACTGCAACGCCCTTTACCACCAGGACTCTGGAGAACCCAAGGGCACAAAGGAAATTAAGACAGATATGCTATGCGCTGGATTTGCTGCTGGACGACAAGATGCCTGCCAGGTGAGACCCCACACAATGCCTAAGAACCACTGCTTGGAAATGTTCCTTTTTTCCATTACAGTTCCTACAACCCCTAAGCCAACTTAGCCAGTGGCAATATTGGCAGTGGGTCTGTAGGCGTTGTAGTCCAAAGGCTGTAATTTTTCCAGACCTTGAAAACCAACTTAGTCCCACAAGCTTTGAGACCATGGGACTCAGGCAGTGCTCAGATTACAAAATGGCATGGGAAGTGTGGAGACATAGGATTACATTTTAGAACAACACCTTTAGATACTGACTTTAGAAGACTACTAGATAGCCAGTGTGGTGTACTGGATAGAGCAGACTATGACTCTGGAGAACAGGGTTCAAATCCTTGCTCAGCCATGGAAACTGACTGGGTGAGTGGAACTAGTAAAATCACTCAGATATCTTGAAACCCTGTTACGTTTGCAAGAGGTCGGTCCCAATTTGATGGCACAGAACATACACATACCAATGTGGCACTATAGATGGAGTGTCAGACCAGGAATTCGGAGGCTGGCTTCAAATTCCCCACTTGGCCATAGAATCTGATTGGTGGGTGTCAATGATAAACCAATTCCTTGAACATCTTGCATACCCGGAAAAGCCTGTTAGGGTCATTATAAGTCAGAAGTGAGTTTACGGCACCCATGTTTTGATTAGAAGTTAGATTCAGAGGTATGACTTGTTGATCAAAATCCTGCTGGTGTTTGTGTAATATCTGTGTAAACTGACATAGCTAATTGTGGTTAATGGATAACGCTAGGGTATGTTTTCCTTGTGTGCTTGGTCATACACTGAGCACCTTGTCAATTAGCAACTCTCACAAAAACTTTCAGCAAACACCAGTGGTATTCCAGCCATTGATTTGATTAAGAACTTGACAGCTTTTTCCTGGATAATTTGAGCGCTTGACTAATTTGATTCATATAGCTACCTTGCATCCCAGGGCAACTTCCGGGACTCTCTAGTTTTCCAGCAACCACAGTCACTGCCACCATTTCACTTTCCTCAGAATGCCATGTTTCCAAAACTTACATCATTCCATTGCACAGGGAGGTATAAACAGTGATCACCATGCTTTTCTTGTGACTATCATGTTCATTACTCACAGTACCCTGAAAAAAATGGGGCACAGCATTTTTTGGAAAACTGAAATGGACACTGTGCTGATGGCCTTGAGTGCCCATTGGTCTGTAAACAGTCCACCTCAGATAGAGAGCTGGGTATGATTTAATGTCTTTCTTAACCTTGTGAACAGTTGTTGCTTCTATTGTTTCAGTAAGACAGATCACTACCTTCTTGCTTCCTGTTGTGTATTGCTATTAAGCTATTAACTATCTGCTTCCTTGACTGTAGCTGTATAACCCACTGGAGATCTTTCCGGACAGGGTGATTCAGGTGGCCCATTGGCCTGCTGGATGAAAGGCTCCTGGCTCCTTGCTGGTGTGGTGAGTTGGGGAGACGGGTGTGCACAGAAGAACCGTCCTGGCGTGTATGCCCGTGTTACATCCTATCAGCAGTGGATCCACAGTATAATACCGGAGCTGACATTTACCAGTACTAAAAGCTATGGGCCAACTGTGAATAACAAAAGCACCACCAACAATGCATTTGCTGGCAGTTCTTCCCTCACCTTGACCATTGCAGCTGTTTTTGTCTTGCTGCTTTCTTAAATGTTTATGAAGAAGGCCGCCTATTCTTCTCAGGAAGATCTTTATGCTAATCCTACTTGGAAGAAAATCATCAGAAATGAAGGAGGGAAGTGGTTCTGCTACTTAACAGTTGAAATACATTCACAGAAACATGCTTTCCTTAGTACTGAAACACAAATTTAAAAATATCCAGAAATTGAGAGGTGGTGGTGGTAGTGGTGGTGGTGGTTGATGATGATGATGCTTTTCATTGATTTAGTTTGCTGCTTCCGGTGGTGGTAGTGGTGGTGGTAGTGGTGGTTGATGATAATGATGCTTTTCATGGATTTAATTTGCTGCTTCTGGATGAGATTTTGTTTAATGTATTTTGAGAAGGCTGTTCTTCTGAGCTTCAGACAGTTCTCCACCGTCCATTACTCCAGCAACGCTAGCAATACCGCATGGGTGTCTCACCAGTAAGGATGGGCCTGCAGGTGCTCATAAGCAACATCCTCACCAAATCTTGCTTCCTTGGTGGAAACAGGGGGCTCATCAGAATACTCTTTGACTGGGTGCTTCACCCTACTATTGAAGGTATCAGTGAGCTGATGGACTATAAGGAAAAGGTAAATAGATTTCAGGACTTAAATCCAATTCTTGATCTCAGCTTGTGTAGATTCACTACATCAATGGGAACGTGATATGTCAACACTGACTACATTCTGTAGATTCAAGTTCTATAGATTCAATGAGCTAGCTGGATAGTTGAGTGGGTTGTGTACCTGGCTGTGAAGCTGGAAGTCAAAAGTTCAGTTCCACATTATCCCTCACATGGAAACTGATAGCCTATGTAGTCTTGGACAAGCTGTACAGTGCCAGAGTGTCCCTACAAGAAAGTCTCACCAGTAAGGATGGGCCTGCAGGTGCTCATAAGCAACATCCTCACCAAATCTTGCTTCCTTGGTGGAAACAGGGGGCTCATCAGAATACTCTTTGACTGGGTGCTTCACCCTACTATTGAAGGTATCAGTGAGCTGATGGACTATAAAGAGAAGGTAAATAGATTTCAGGACCTAAATCCAATTCTTGATCTCAGCTTGTGTAGATCCACTACATCACTGGGAACATGATATGTCAACACAGACTACATTCTGTAGATTCAAGTTCTATAGATTCAATGAGCTACAGTAGCTGGATAGCTGAGTGGGTTGTGTACCTGGCTGTGAAGCTGGAAGTCAAAAGTTCAGTTCCACATTATCCCTCACATGGAAACTGATAGCCTATGTAGTCTTGGACAAGCTGTACAGTGCCAGAGTGTCCCTACAAGAAGGGTGTAATTATTACATCATGTTCCAACCCTAGAAAGTCTCCCATACAGCTTCATTTCATCTGGGAAGAAAAGCCATGAACTCAGACTGCTGAAATCTACCATGAAGTTTAGGAAAGAGTTGTAGATTTACTTGCCACCTAAAACATCGCAATGCAATCGCATTAGTGATCGCAAATAACGCGTCGCTATGCGGATTCGTCGTTCAACGGTGCACTCGTTAAGCGAGGCACCACTGTATTAGATCATGTTCCAATCCTAGAAAGTCTCCCATACAGCCTCATTTCATCTGGGAAGAAAACCCATGAACTCAGACTGTTGAAATCTACCATGAAGTTTAGGAAGGAGTTGTAGATTTATGTGAGAAGCGGCTGTATTACAAATGTTGTTCTCTACCTCTGCAAATTTTAGCTTGCTACCTCTAAAGTAAAACTTTTGCTGCCAGGTTTATTTCATGATGTACCTTTGAGATCCATTGTCAATGGTATAGTTACACAGTTTTGGATTTAATAACCTCAGGGAGGGTGTTTTACAGGTGATAATATGTTTTACATTTTACATTGCTTAGTTCAAAATGCTTGGCTACATTTCAGAACCCTCCCAGTTATTCTACTGAGTGAAGCCCTAAATATTTTACCCTGTAGCCCTGTTCAAACAGTGCTATTGTTTGCTGAATCACTTACATGGTGATGAGTGTATTTATTTTTATTGAATTATTTATTGTTTGCAACATACTTTTTTGTAACATGCACTCACCCTCTTGTCAAATTTCCCTTTGTACGTGAGCAGTGGAGTGCCGTCTGGTACGTGACTCCCAAATATCTTTCCCTCCTGTACAATAAAAGCCTTGAACCTGAACACCCAGGTGGAACAAGATCTCTTTCTAACCTGAATGACTCTATTTTGAGGAGGTAAGAATGTAAGTGAAGCTGCTCTGCTGGCCTGTATTAGGTAACAGCTTCAAACGGGCAGGGAAAACAAAGTTCTTATAAGAGATTTCTAAAGAGGATTTTTAAAATTATTATTCTGTATTTGCATTCACACACATGAGCCACCATCACCACCACTATCACCACTTTCCTTGAATAAGGGAAGACGGCAATTGTTAAGATGAACAGCTTAGAGCAGTGGTTCCCAACGACTATCACCACTTTCCTTGAATAAGGGAAGGCGGCAATTGTTAAGATGAACAGCTTAGTCTGCAGATGTTCTTGGACTTCAACTCCCAGAAATCCTGATCAACGCAGCAAGCGGTGAAGGCTTCTGGGACTTTGGGTCTATTTGATCAACGCAGCAAGCGGTGAAGGCTTCTTTATTAACATCTGGGGACCCAAGGATGGTAACCACTGTTGTCAGCCATTCACCTTAACAATTGCCAGCCTCCCCTTATTCAAGTACATTTGGAGTCTCTGAATGTAGACTGATATAATAGAAACATATAGCCTTATGAGGGAACTTTTCTTTGTTTTTCCAAATAAAACCAATCCATCCCAAGGTATGATTTGCCTCAGGTGATGGTGTTCCAGGCAGTGTGTTGTTTTGCTTAGAGTCATTCTCCTCCTCATGAAATTTTGCTCTCTGATTCCCCAGTTAGACATGACACATGAGATCTCTGCAGAGTTGTGAAGTTCAAAAAACAAAAACATAAGCCTCAAAGGCTACAGTCGAGAATGAAGGAGAAGGAGCTGTTTCATCCTTTCCTTTTGTACCATTTGTTCACTCAAAATCCCCACACATTCCATATTTGGGGCATGTGAAGAGATACAGGATCCCCCCCCCACTCAAAGCTACACAGTATTTCCCCTTTTAGGAGATAAGTTGTTTTTGAGCTGACAAAAAGCAGGAAGAGACATTGTTAAGTACTGTAGACCCTCCAGTTCATCTTATTAGTCTTCGTCTTCATCATCTTAGAAGTACAAAACTGGAAGAGACCCCATGAATCATCACTTCCAGCCCCCTGTCAAGCAGGCACAGTGGGGAAACGAACTCCCAACCTTTGACTCTGCAAAAAGATTCTTAAACCACAAACCAGTAGCCTAAAACAGTTGCTTTACATTTTAAAAGGAGCAATGTTTTTTGTGCCTCAGGTGTAATGTCCGGATTGGCCATAGGAAGGGTTTCCTGGCATCTCTAGGGTAAAGTCTTAGTATTGCCACCAAATTTCAATTATCAGAACTAGGAGTGGCTCATAAACCAGGATGAGTAGAGTGCCTCAGCTCAAAATCTGGTGAAGAGGTGCCTTCCTCAAGCAGGTCTCCAGAAAAGCTCACCAAGTACGTTTTTTCAAGAGATATCAACACAGGCAGCTCTTGAATAGAACAGGAGAGGGAGGCACAACTCCCTGAAATAGTGGCTGAAATCCAGTAATTAGTAGAAACTAGAGCAGGCCCATTGAATCAGCTTCTTACAAAGGAGTTGACTCACCAAATACCCACTCATTCAACAGGCTTTCTCTGGTTGTGACTTATTGCTGGATTTCAGCCATTGGGGCGAAGCTGCTTGTTATACTAAGCCACTCCCAGATAACACACAGACTGTTTTCTTTTTGTATGTACGTATACTCTTCAGTAGTATAACAATTAAACACCACAACTCCCACTTTTGATGTTGTATCATTTTAATTGTTTTCTATCATTTTCTTCATTCAAGTGAAGGATGAAATATGGAGGTGTCAGATTCCTCTGAGGCAATGTTTTCAACCTTAGGTCCACATATGGTCTTGGACTACAGCTCCTAGAAATCCTGGACAGCTAGTGACGAAGGCGTCTTGGATTTTTACTCCAAGAATATCTGGGGACCCAAGACTGGGAACTATTGATCTAAGAAATTTCTGTCATAATTGATGGCAGGGAAAATCATCCGAATTTTACAAAATCCCATGAATCAACAACCAGCTTCTGTATATCTATGTAGCCCACCAATAAGAAGCCTCTACCCCGGGAAGGGAGAGTTCCCTTTGCAGAAGTGGATTAGGCAAAGATCCAAAAATCTGTATTGAAGAGACCAGAGCTTAGAAAGGTTGCTTTTTGGACTACATATCTTAAAATCCCCTGGCCAGCAAGATCAGTGGTTGATTTAGGGATCTAAGGATTGGTCGTCCAAATAAAGTAACATTTCCAAACTCTGAGAAAGAGGTAGTCCTGTGGGTCCCCCACTGCATTGCGCCCCACCCATCCACACATTAGAACACACACACACACACACACACACACACACACACACACACACACATGCCTATTTAAATACAAAGCACACCTATTTAAATACCAAAAACATTGAAATCCCTTTCAAGTCATTTCCATGATAAGGATGGTATTCCCATTCCTCCTTCTCCTTATTCCAGGGAGAAGACAGTCAGTATGAGAGTCTGAGTTTTCCAAGAAGAAATAGAATTCCTGTGGTCATCATCACAGATTTATACAAATGTGCATATTATGCACTAGTTTTCAAAAATAGCACCATTTGGAACGGAACACAGACAACGCCTCTTCCAATGTAGAAAACAATTCAATAGAATTGGGGGGAAGTGATGCAGGGTGGTGTTGGAAAGGAAAAAGTCCTCTGTTCTCATAATTAAAATCTCCCTCCCACGCCGCATACCCACAATGTGTCTCTAAATCCATGAAGCCCCATGCTGTTGATGTTGAATAATGTTGCTGACTGAACGTGGAATTTTCTAGAATTCTCCAGAAGCAGGCTCTTAATACATCACCAAAGATGTATGACTAAGAATCAGTCTTCAGGCAAGTTTTTAGTGGAAGGTACTGAAGGAGCTTGTTTTCCAGAATCAGTGAAGAAAACACAATGAAATCTTGTAATGATCCTCTATGTTAGGAGGACCCAGGTGAAGTAGAAGACCGTGAAGAGGAAATGAACATTGAAATCTTTGAGGACTAGGCTGGAAGTAGATGCAGATGGAGTGACTACTTGGTAATAGGTGATGTTTACAAGGCCAAACTGTGCCCGGGGGTGATGCCTCTTTATCCAATTCTCATAGAAGTTGACACGAGTGTAGACACCTGGACGGTTAGGAACGGCACACATGTCACCCCAGCTCACGATGCCTGCAACGTACCAGGCACCATCTTCTTGGCAAACCAGGGGGCCTCCAGAATCACCCTAGGTTGAAAAGGGCAGGTAGTGAGATTTTTGCGGTACTCCCAGCCACAATCTCTCCTTAACTCACTTCATAGAAACATAAGAATTCACCTCAGACTGAGTCAGACTACTGGTTCATCTAGTCAAGTCAACTCTGACTGGCAGCAGCTGGTTTCTAACAGGATTTCTGGAGATCCCTGGCACTGCCTAGTAGAATCTCCTCCAAGAACTAATCAAGACCAACCCTTGTTTGTTTGCCAAAATCAGTGTGTTTTGAGAATGTGCAACGTGTTCCCTCCTGTGCTGCCTCTGAAAATGCCATTCCCATAACTCTGGAAATCAACAACGGGAGACCTTTTCAGGATTATAGGACGATATGCCTACTTGTAGGTAGGCACAGGAAGAAAAGGGCAAAGTTAGGGGATACAGTTCAGATCAGCCCTAGGCATAGCTCCTAGGAGTTTTGCAGAAATAAATCACTATCCTTTCACTCTATCTGCTAATTCTATCTGCGACACATGTCTTAATATCATTCCACTCCTCAATATTCCTTCCATCCTCAATGATATTCTAGTACAGTGGTTCCCAACCTTGGGTCCCCAAATGCTCTTGGACTAAAACTCCCAAAAGCCTTCAGCACTAGCTGTACTGGCCAGGATTTCTGGGAGTTGTAGTCCAAGAACATCTGTGGACCCAAGTGTGGGAAATATTACTGTTCTACTACATGCACCAGCCTTCCCAACTTAGTTCCTTCCAGAATGCAACTCCCCAAATCACCCAGACTCACATCTGTTGGAACCCTGGCTTATGAAGATGACCACACACATCGAATGCTTACCGAACATGCATCTTTTTCTCCTGCAGCATAACCAGCACAGAACATATCATCCTGGATCTCTCTGGTAGTGGGGGGAATATTGGTGCCAAGGTGGTACATAGCATCACAAGGCATTGTGTCTATCAAGGGTAACTTGATCTGTTGCAATGTCTTTGGAGCCCCGAGGGAGGCTGGAAGGAAAGAAATGAGAAGTAAAAATGGTGAGAGTATGAAAATGAACAATGAAGAATAAGTGTGCCAGTTTTCCTCCTTCTTCCCAAGACATAGCCATGTGCCTCCATGCTCATCCATGCCTACATTCTGCACATTGCCCGCCCAAACTGCCATGGAAGTCCAACAATCTTATGTTTTCTATATCCCATGAGTCCCTCAGTCTGATTTCAAATCAAATTTGGGCATTTTGTATGCACCCCAATTCAGTCCAGGTAAATTTGTACCCCATCCAATTTGATTTGTACTCCAGATACACATCAGTACATAAGGCTCACATTGGCTTGTACTGGGAAACCAAAACAGCTATAACTTTTTATACTGATACACATGAAATGCAGAGACATGATAGACTATAAAGAGGAGAGTAAACATGTGAAATTCCAAGTACCTAGCTTCAGACAGATGTGTCAAACTAGAAAATAATCTTAGCACTTATTTAGAAAGTAGCGCTGCCTTAAGTGGTGAAAGATGTCTGATTATCACACAGGCAGGTGATTTTCCTAACCTTAACATCTTACATCCTAGCATGTTTTGTTTTGTAATTATTCACTGGAGCATAAACATGGGCTTAATTTGCTGTTCTGAGTGCTAAATCATATATTTCTGAGGAAATCACACTGTAAAAAGAAAAGCAAGGTAATTGAATTGTTCTTAACATCTACTTTCACCCTAGTCCATATCTTCCTACAATCCAAATCATCTTAAGCCTCTTTCCTTAATTTTCCCAGTAAAAACTTCCAAATCTACTGAACCACATGCTCTCTGAGTTCTTATTTATTAATATTTAGGTATTATAGGAATGTCTATCCCGCCCATGGTTATTGTCAGAAAACAAAGTACAATAAAAATGGAAACAACACAAAACACAACAGCAAGTGGTCATGGAACCTAATCATTTTCCTTCTGTTTCCTCTCCTGCGATTATTTACCATATTTTTCCATTTACAAGATGACCCAAAGTATAAGGTGACCCCCCTTTTCTAACCCCCAAATTAGAAAATTTGCACACTTGCACCCCTTTGATCCTCCCGCCCTTTCCCGGCTGCATTTCCCACCTCCTAAGCCCTGCGGAGCTTAGGAAATGGTTAATGCAGCCATGAAAGGGCATTGTGCTCGCACCCCTTTGATCCTCCCGCCCTTTCATAGCTGTTTCAGGATCAAATGGGTGCAAGTGTGCTGCCCTTTCGCAGCTGCTTTGTGGCTTCGCAAAAGGCAGGGAAAGTGGCTGCCTCTGTGTATAAAATGACCCTCAATTTTTGGTCTAATTATTTAAGTAAAAAGTCTTCTTTTTTACATGGAAAAATATGGTAAATCCTTAAATCTTGCTTTATTATCCACTGCCACCTCATGCCCCAAAATACATTACCATGTGGGGTACTAGAAGAGAGTTGGAATGTTATACAGTGGTGCCTCACTTGACGACGATAATCTGTTCCAGCAAAATCACTGTAGAACGAAATCGTCGTCGAGCGAAAGTAAACAGCCCATTGAAATGCATTGAAAACCATTCAATGCATTCCAATGGGCGAAATACCTCACCGTCCAGAGAAGATCCTCCATAGGGCGGCCATTTTCTGGTGCCTGTAAAGCGAGCAATCAGTCCTAAAACACAGCAGGGAGCCATTTTGCACAGCGGGCGGCCATTTTGCGACCCGCCGAGCAGCTGTTTTAAAACCATCGTAATGTGAAGAATCAGTTCCCAAAGCAGGGAACCAATCGTCATAAAGCAGATTTTCCCAATTTAAACATCGTTTTGCGATCGCAAAAGCAATCACAAAAACCTCATCATTAAGCGGATTCATCGTGGAGCGGGGTAATCATTAAGCGGGGCACCACTGTATTCATTTTTTACTGCAGCTCCCAGAAGCTCACAGCCAGCATGGTGGGTTGCCATGCAGTCTGTAGTATTCTAGAAGTGCAAAAAATTAACTTCTCCTGTTCCTGTCCCATGTTTATATCTTATAACAGCCCCCCCCAAAAAAAGCAGTTGTGGCTCACCTCCATATTTTGGATCTCCCCATCCTGTCACCCAACATAAGGTACCACCTGGGAACTGGACTGTGGCATCTGGAAGACAAGCTGGGAGGATACTTTGGGTAAAGAGGACTGGACCTTCCAATTGAGCCAAAGCAATATCTCCACTGGAGCCATCGCCAGCATAGCTCTTGTGCACAATCGCACGGGAGAGCTTCAGCCACACAGCATTGGGGTCTGCGTTCAGGAGTTGGTAGTTCCCCAGATTTGCTCGGTACTCAGAGAGTGTTGCTTTGCTGGAGAAGAGAAACAGCCAAGTGTCAAGAATTAGAATCACAAAAGTCATAGAGTCATAGGATAATTGATTTGGGAGGGGCCTAATAAGGCCATTTAGTCTAGCGGGGTACAGTGGGGTCTTGACTTGAGAACTTAATCCGTATTGGAAGGCGATTCTCAAGTCAAAAAGTTCTCAAGTCAAATCTGCATTTCCCATAGGAATGCATTGAAAACCATTTGATCCGTATCTGCTCTTTTCCGTCCATAGAAACTAATGGGAAGCTGCTAATCCGCCTTCGACCACTAGAGGGGGATATTTTGTTTCTTTTTTTCTTAGGTCAAGAAACGTTCAGGGAAGGCAGGGAAAATACAGTCCAGGCAGTCCAGTACCAGGCAGTCTGAAGACTGTCTCCCAATCCACTCTCTAAACGCTGGGAGGAGTGAGGAAGCAGACAGGCACCCTTTTCACTGACCAACAGTTAACTGAAAGTTCAAATTTTGCTCTTTCCCTGCCTCCCACATTTTTTTTCAGTTCTTAACTCAAATCTAAGTACTGTACTTAAGTCAAGTCGATATTTTCCTGTGAGAGTGGTTCTTAAGTCAAAATGTTCTTAACTCAAGCCGTTCTTAAGTCAAGACCCCACTGTACTCAGTGAAGGAATCCACATCAAGGTAGATCTGACAAATGATTGTCCAATTTTCTCTTGAATGCCTGTGGGATGGGTGGGATCACCATCTCCTGAAGTAACTGGTTCCATTGTCATACTGTTCTAACAGTATGTTGTTAGTCTGTGGAACCCCTTGTCACGGGATGTGGTGATGGCATCTGGCCTAGATGCCTTTAAAAGTGGTTTGGACAGAATTCTGGAGGAAAAGTCCATCACAGGTTGCAAGCCATGATGAAGATGTATAATCTCCAGGCTTAAAAGAAAGGTAGCTCAAAATGTCAGTTGCAGGGGAGTGGTATCAAGAGACAGGTATCTAGTTGTCTTGTGTGCTCCCAGAGGCATCTGATGGGGCCTCTGTGAGATACAGGAAGCTGGACTAGATGGGCCCTTGGCCTGATCCAGCAGGGCTCTTCTTATGTAACAGTTAGGAAGTTTTTTCCTCCTCTGATTTCCAGTTTGTTGGCATCCTTCTTAAAGTGTGATTTCCAGAACTGGACACAGTACTTTGGATGAGGCCTAACCAGTGCCAAATTGAGGGGGACTAGTACTGTTTTAACAGTTAAGAAGTTTTTCCTGATATCCAGCCTAAATCTGACTTCCTGTAACTTGAACCCATTATTGTGTGCCCTGCCCTCTGGGATGATCAAGAACAGATCTTGCCCCTCCTCTGTACAACTGTCTTTCCAATATTTGAAAACTGCAGTCATATCTCCCCTCAATTTTCTTTTCTCAAGGCTAAACATACCTACTTCTTTCAGTCTTTCCTCATAGGGCTTCATTTCCAGTCCCCTGATCACTCTTGATGCCCTTCTCTGAACAGTATTCAAGATAAATGCTCCAAGATGATGGGGATCTAACATTGTGAAATATTCATCCCTTCATATTTGTCCAGTCCAGAGAACCTGACAAAAACTAAGGGACAAATATTTATCCATTTTTATTCGTCCCTTGATGCAAGTTGGCTGCTGGAAGGGAAACCCTGATTCTTCTTCCCATGGCCTGCTTCTCAATGTCCCACCAATCACTGATGATCAGGATATTGACAAGCAGACTGGCTGCAGGAAGGGAAACCCCAATTTCTGTTCCGGCAGCTAACCTGCTTGTCAATGTCCCACCGATCAGCTGGTGCTCAGGGCATTGACAAGCAGGTTGGATGCAAGAAGGGAAACCCTGATTCTGTTCCTGCAGCCAGCCTGGTTGTCAATGACACAGGTGGCAGGAAAAGAAACCCCAGGTTTCCCTTGCCGCAGACAGCCTGCTTGTCAGTGTCCTGCTGATCAGCTGTTCAAAGGGCCATTGTGTTTTGACGATAGCTCATTGATTCACCATGAACATTTGGTGCTTTGTCAATTCGTCCATTTGTCAACTTTGACAAATGACAAATTACGATGAATCACTATTTTTTTCTGATTTGTCCCTATCTCTAATCTTGTCCTTCTCTTACAGTAGCAAGATGTTGTGGCCCAGCCCTGATCATCAAGAAACATGGCACCCGATTCTGCTCAACCAAAGGCTGCCAAAAGTGGCAAACAATATGGAAAGAAAATTGTGCTTTAGGATTGGGACATATGGGATAATGAGACAGACCTGAAGAATCAAGCAGAATCCCAATATTATCAGGAACAGTAAAGGACAACAGAAATGAGGATACCTGGAAAGGCTTTAGTCAGATGTATAGAGGAAAGGGAAGAAAAATGCAGGGAACCATTATAGAGTATTTGTAAAACAGCCACAACATAATTACAATATAATATATATTTGTATTGTTTCTAAATGATACCTTCAGCACACTTTTTTAGAAGAGGTGCTTCCTCAAGAGGTGAAAGAAAACTATTTGTCACAGCAAAGCATTATTTTCCTTGCTTCCATATCTTGCACATACCAAATATTGTTTTATTATTGATTTTTGAAAGGCAAAGATGATTCTTAATTGCAAATCTAATTGCTGAGACACATCTCTGAAGAAATGCCACAGTGGGAGGAAAATGGGTTAAAATTAGAAAATACAGGTTGAACTGTACACTGAGTCAGCAACAGAGTAAAACTCTCTTTGTATGCTTATCCTTATTGTTCCACAAGGACTAAAATGTGAAAATTTTAAAATATGAACACTGAAAAGTACAGGGAGAGCCTAAAGGGGCCACATAGGGTACGCCTTACAAGTCTCCTCTCAAAGAATAAGCCTTGTAAGCAAATTCTTTGAAAACGTTGAACTAGGTCGCCTAGTTACTCATCCTTCTCCCAGTTACGTACCTTGGGAAGCAGTGGGCTGCAGTCAGCAGCCATTCAGCACTGATGAGGGTTGCTCCACAGACATGCTTCCCCTTGTACTGTAGGCTGACTTGCCATGGCCAGGCACCACGAGACGCATCCTCTCCCCCAATAATTCGGTTTTTGGTTTTGGTCACCACCTGGCCACACACTGGCAAAATATGTATACGCGTGTTTGTAAGAGAGAAAGGGAGACAATGAGATAGAAGATGCCGGAAAAATGAAGCTTCATGGTTTTATCCTTTTTACCAGAATCTTCCAATTAAAAAAACCGGCCACAGAGACTGGTGAAATGTTAGGAAGAACAAACTTCAGAACACAGCCAAAGAGCCCGAAAAACCCACAACAACCTACTCTTATTTATTTATTTGTTTATTTGTTTATTTGTTTATTTGTTTATTTGTTTATTTGTTTATTTGTTTATTTGTTTATTTGTTTATTTGTTTATTTGTTTATTTGTTTATTTGTTTATTTGTTTATTTGTTTATTTGTTTATTTGTTTATTTGTTTATTTGTTTATTTGTTTATTTGTTTATTTGTTTATTTGTTTATTTGTTTATTTGTTTATTTGTTTATTTGTTTATTTGTTTATTTGTTTATTTGTTTATTTGTTTATTTGTTTATTTGTTTATTTGTTTGATTTTTTTCCCCCGCCTCTCTAGACCATGTCTACTCTGGGAGATTTCCATTCCCAGTGGTTTTGCTGACAGGAGATTGGGGGAATTTCAATCTTCTCCGAACTAACTTATCTGAGTGCTACTCAGAGTCCACTTCCTACTTTTTTTCACTAACTCAAATGGTAATGTAAAAGTTATAAACATTTGCAGTTGTTTGCCGCACAAATGACTAACTGAAGCATTGAGGGAGCTGCATTTGTGATCAAGAACTGATTTAACTATCCATGTACAATTATACAAGGACTAGTTACCCGTAGTGCAAACAAATAACACAGTAGTCACTTGTAAAGCTGGGAATACTGACCTATGTGCTCACTACTGTGTTAAAATTATATACGTACTGGAATCCAGTGGTGTAAATCACCGCAGTGTAACTTCATTGACATATGTTTCCAATGCAAAGTGCACCGACTTAAAAAGTCAGCATAGGCATTTGCTGTTGCAAACCAAGTCACACAACTGTTTTGCAACAGCAAGTGGCTTCACCAGCATCTTAACCTGCAACATTTTACAGCGGAGATTCATACCAATACAGAAAGTTATAACTGACAAAATTCTGCCGACAGCATTTTCTTTTCTTTTTTTTTTTTTGTTCTAAGGGCCTTTTCAACCAATCTGTGTGAGAAAATGCTTTTGCTGTTGCAAACCAAGTCACACAACTGTTTTGCAACAGCAAGTGGCTTCACCAGCATCTTAACCTGCAACATTTTACAGCGGAGATTCATACCAATACAGAAAGTTATAACTGACAAAATTCTGCCGACAGCATTTTCTTTTCTTTTTTTTTTTTTGTTCTAAGGGCCTTTTCAACCAATCTGTGTGAGAAAATGCTTATCAACCCTCTCTGCCTACCGGAAGTGGTAAATCATGCCCAAATGTCATGCATAAAAGTCTTTAAATGGGCTATAAGCACAGTGGCCGAAAGCCAGTACTAAGCTGCAACTAGAATAGGTCCACTGAATCTATGGAACTTACAGACAAAAAGATGCATCAAATCCCCACTGATGGAATCCAAGCATTACATAAATGAAAGAGAAGGAACCTCTGAACAATTCTGAATGGTATTTCTATCCCCTACGTACCTCAGAGATCACTGTATTCAGAGAACTCACAAAACCCTCTGCATAACATTTTCAAGGAGTAAGAGGGGCTGCAGTGGGAAGCAGGCTGCATGGAAGTGCCATTTCAACTGCCCGGCTGCATATATTAAAATACAGATCCAACCCAATCCAGCATCACTGGTTGAACCCAAGGGTTATCAACCCCAGGCTTTTAAGAATCAGTCCTGGGTCACGATGAAGAAATTTGTCAATTCTGATTTCTCCTACATTATTTCTTTTTTAACTTCCCATTCTTTCTATGCGAAGAAATGTCCAGAGTTTAACCATTTCTTCTCAAAAGCAAATTAAAATTAAATTCACACTCTTCCAGTTTGCATTAGTTTTTGATGAAGACACTTCTGCATGTGTCACTCTTAGGATAACTGACTTCTTTACTGACAGGGCTTCTGTGATTTTAAAAGCTTAGTAATAGGGGAAAATTCACCAGAAGATTTTTCAAGGGGCATAAGTTGCACTGAGGTGACCCCTTTTCTTGTTCTTCCATAACTAAACGCTTACCTGTCTGGCTGCCATTCTCCATATTTCCTAGAAAGATATGGGAAGGGAGAAACAAGAGTTAAGAAGGCTCTCCAATTCAAAAAGTAGCTTTCAAAGAAGTAGCCATGTTTGTTTATGCAAACATATCCAGGCAAAAATAGAAACAAGAACAAATTAAGTTTTGTTTTAAAGCTGTTGCTATAAAAACAGGTGCATTTTCAAAAGCAAAACTGGGACAAAAAAATTGGGAGGAAGAACAACCCTAGAGCTTAGAAACACTACTTGGGGAGGCACAAAAAATCTGCCAAGGTGATCTAGCGCTAAACTAGTACAGTATATCAATTCAACAGCTTAATGCTAAAATTATTTATTAAAAAAACAAAGAAATTGGAGGATAGATCTTGGGGGCAGGTTCCAGTAGTATCTAATCACCATACCTCAACTGCCTATGTCAGCATAACACCACCCACAGATATGCCCCACACCATCATTTTGCAAAACAAAAAACAAAACAAAAAACCTGTGTTAGGAGCAAAAAAAGGGCCAGACCAATTCAAACTGGTCTTCTCATCATATGGTCATTTTTAAAATATCAGCTGTTTTATACTTGCAGCAAACTCTGCATTATTCGATTGTGTAGTTGCAGCCTCACTGAGCTCTCCAGGCAGCAGGTGGTTCATATTATCCCCCTTCAACCAAAACATAATTTAACTAAGGGGGTTTAGTTTTTGAACGATTACGATATTAACCCCTTCTCATGAACTTTGCCATCTCCGCACCTCCTTTCACCATAAGTAGCTACTCAGACAGCTGCCAAATTTTCACAGCCACAACAGAGGTGACAAATTATATGGATGCCACCCAAATTCATAATGAATCTAGAGGGTGATAGTAAGACTGACTTGCTACTGCCAACAAGATCTAGGTCAGGTTTCCAAAATGGTGCCCTGATTCTGAGAAGTTGCTCACCCCTGATATAGAAATACAGACCCACCATCGTGTATAATTTATCCAAACTCATTTGCCTTTCCAGTTGACCATCCTAACCTGATACTTTTATGTATTATTTTCTTTTGCATCACATCCATATTCTACTCTTACAAGAGCCTTGTGGCAAAGTGGTTAAATTACAGTACTGAAGGTAGCTTGCAAGATTGAATTGGAAACCATCTAAAGAGTGCTTTGAGCACTATGGGGAGGTACATAAAGCAGCACACTTTGCTTTACTTTCTTTAAAAATATTTCAGACTACAACCCGCTTCATAACGTTTTTTTCTGAAAGCATGAACCGCAAAGCAGCCAGCATGTTTCTCCAACAGTTGTTGCCATGTTCAGAACAAATATCTCCCCCCATTCCTCCTCAAGTGTTCCAGCTAAGGGGTATATCACTTTCAACTTCATTTTCTATTTGAGTGAGCCTGGAAACATGATGTCACAGGCAAAGCTGGAAAACCAAACAGCTAAGTATAAAGTTTAAACAAGACTGAGGAAGAGAATCTAAAGAAAATATTAATGTGGTAAAATATGCAAACAGAAGGTGCTCTTTGAGGGAAACACAGCCTGAGCGCTACAATTAGAGCAGATTTAGAAGATGGTAACCCAGGTTACCCATTCAGGTGCCAGGCGCAAGGCTCTCTACTCCAATAATCGCTCAACGATCACTGAAAGAAAGATTACAAGCAGTCCATCTTCTGTTCTAAAGCTTGTCTGCGCCAAAGACTGGAATGCTTTATTTTAGCCTTTTATTGTTTTCTGCAGGAGTACATGGCATTGTGCCCATTCCACAAAAGCTAGATTGTGCGTCAACCCAAAAGATCTCATGCATGCATGAAAATTTACTCTCCTTTAGAACAAGGGTAAAACCATTGCATATAAGTCATGCACCTGGGTTGTGAAACAGGCTACAAGTACATTTTAAAAATATTCATTGGAATGAAGGTGCCTTACACCATTGTTCCATCTCATATAGCATTGTGTTTGTTCACCAAGGGTAAAGGTAAAGGTTCCCCTTGACAATTTTTGTCCAGTCGTGTTCGACTCTAGGGGGCGGTGCTCATCTCCGTTTCCAAGCCATAGAGCCAGCGTTTTGTCCAAAGACAATCTTCCATGGTCACATGGCCAGTGCGACTTAGACACGGAACACTGTTACCTTCCCGGTGGTCCCTTCCCTATTTATCTACTTGCATTTGCATGCTTTCGAACCGCTAGGTTGGCGGGAGCTGGGACAAGCGACGGGCACTCACTCCGTTGCGTGGATTCGGTCTTACGACTGCTTGGTCTTCTGACCCTGCAGCACAGTCTTCTGCGGTTTAGCCCGCAGCACCACCATGTCCCTCACCAAGGGTAGGCAATCCAATTGTTTCCAGCTTACATCACCCTCACCATTCACCATGGTGGGTAGAGTTGAATGGAGCTCAAATCCAACATCTAGAAGGCTACAGGTTCCTGACGTCTTGTCTATGCTGACTGCCAGCCACTATCCAGAGTATGATGCAGGAAAATGTCCACTCCACTTAAGCCCCAAGACCTCTTGGTGCCTAAGAACTCATTTTACTCTTATTGGGCAGCATGAAAAAAAAATCTAAAGAAATTAGAGAGGTGAAGGTAAGTACTGCTGATTCCTTTTTAACACTGATACCTTTCCAGTTTTGACATTCATATTTTAATATCTCTTCCTGTTTGCTGAGGTGTGTCTGCTCTAGAGCCTTAAGCGGCAATGGACAACATGCAACCTGTGGGTCTTGTGCCTCATTTCCCCCATTTTTGCAGATCCTCCAGTGCCCCATTTGTTACTGCTACTGCCAAGAAATGTGCATTATAGAAGTTGGCCACAGTATCACCATAGGGAAGGCAAACATCCTTCCTTCCATTACAGGGCTCTATGGTGAAGGGCATTCTAGCCTCTTCTTGCACCATAGAGCTGCCACGTCTGCCGTGGAACAACAGTTCCCAACTTTGGGTCCCCGGAACTTCTTGGACTACAGTTCCCAGAAATCCTGGGTAGCATGGCTAGCAGTGAAGGCTTCTGGGAGTTTTAGTTGAAGAACATCTGGGGACCCAAGGTTGGGAGCCAGTACCATAAAATGTGGGTGATTTGAGCAAAAGCATTGATTATTGGTGTATTTCAGCAGCAGCAGTGTCATACACAGACATCACTGAGTTCCCAGAAAAGAGGTTATCCACACCTGAACCTTGTTATATAAAAGGATTAAAGTAAACGCGTGGGAGATGAGTGCTGTCCCAGCTCCTTCCACCTGTGCATGTACAGAGTTTAATCTGAAGGGGAGAACTGTCTCTCTATCCATGAAGCATTTCTGCTTTGTAGAACCATGGTTTTTCCGGATCTCTGATTGTTCAAAGATGCTCAACAGATAGAGGCATTTCTCCTTTGCTGAATTAGTTCTGCATGCACGGGCAGCTGGATTAGATGGGCCCCAAGCTGGCAACCTCCTTTCCTTGTGTATTTAACCCCTTTAGAGATTTCCAGTGTAGGATTCTGGTCTGGGTCTTTGTCTTCTGGTGTGTCAAGAGAATGGAAGACAGCAGCAGGGCTTGTTTTTAGCAGTTTTGTGACCCACCAGTTCTTGTTTCTTTGCCTTCTTCCACTACCAGAAGAGTCTGGCAGCCACTTCAGGATTCCAAGCCACTCCCTTATATGGCTACAGCTTAAAACACACAATGGAACAGTGTTTACTGATAAGAAGCATATATGTTCTATGCTCACAGTTTACTCTACAAAGCCATTGTGTGATGCTGGTTCAAACAGTGTCCGCTTTTCTTATCTTAGGCCTTGTCCTCACAAAGGGCAGGTACATTTTCTTCCAATGGAAACAGCAACATGCTTGTAAGACCCTTGCTATGATATCAGAGAGTTCTGTCTAAACTTGCTGCCTCTGAAGACCCCATTCTACTTGATCTGTACTGTTGTCAGAGCGTGGATAGCTCTGGTCCTCTATGGCTTCTACAACATTCTGTCTTGTGTTTTAAAAGCTGAGAGGAGAATTCGTTCCTCACCCAAAATTTCTAGTATAAGAACTCTAGAACAGCATAATTACACAATAACCCAATTGGAAAGGGCCTGTAAAACCGCTGAGTCCATCCCTCTGCTCAATGCAGGGATCAAATCAAAGTAAATCTGACAGGTGGCTCTCTAATTTTTTTTTAATGCCTCTGGTGTTGGAACACTCTCCACCTCCTGAGGGGATTGGTTCCATCATACCGCTCTAACAGTTAAGGCATTTTTCCTTATATTTAATCGAAATCTGGTTCCTGGCTGAATGGTGCCATGTATGTGCCTTTCCTTTCGAACTGGTTCTTAAGCACAACCCTCAGAAAATAACTTCTTCTCAAGGATGGCTACTACTAGTTCAATTGCTTCTCTTAAGAAGACTTTAGTTCTCAAAAGCCACTACTTTTGCTGCCACTCCTGAGACAGCGTACCAAGTATCGGAATCACCAAGGAAAAATAAAACTACAGTATTTCTTTCTTGCTTCTCCCTGTGCTTGCTGCTGCAATCCTCAGTGAGAAAGGATGGGTGAAGAGGGAAGGTGTTTGAGATGGTGGAGAGAAACAAGAATGAAGGCCACAGAACATTTACAAAGTTCTTAAAATCTCCCCCACACCTTTCAAAGTAAATCTGACAGGTGGCTCTCTAATTTTTTTTTAATGCCTCTGGTGTTGGAACACTCTCCACCTCCTGAGGGGATTGGTTCCATCATACCGCTCTAACAGTTAAGGCATTTTTCCTTATATTTAATCGAAATCTGGTTCCTGGCTGAATGGTGCCATGTATGTGCCTTTCCTTTCGAACTGGTTCTTAAGCACAACCCTCAGAAAATAACTTCTTCTCAAGGATGGCTACTACTAGTTCAATTGCTTCTCTTAAGAAGACTTTAGTTCTCAAGAGCCACTACTTTTGCCGCCACTCCTGAGACAGCGAACCAAGTATCGGAATCACCAAGGAAAAATAAAACTACAGTATTTCTTTCTTGCTTCTCCCTGTGCTTGCTGCTGCAATCCTCAGTGAGAAAGGATGGGTGAAGAGGGAAGGTGTTTGAAGGTCTGTCAAAGATGCTGGAGAGAAACAGGAACGAAAGCTGCAGAACATTACAAAGTTCTTAAAATCTCCCCCACACCTTTAAAGTGCTTTTAAGAACCACCAAAATTTGTTTCGGAACCAATGGAAACCTCCGTATCGTGCAACCATAAACTCACTTCAGTTTCTATGGACGGAAAAGAGCAGATACGGATCAAATGGTTTTCAATGCATTCCTATGGGAAATGCAGATTTGACCTGAGAACTTTTTGACTTGAGAACCGCCTTCCAATACGGATTAAGTTCTCAAGTCAAGCCCCCACTGTATATCTTGCAACCACAAACTCACTTCGTGAGAACAGGCATACTGGTCGCAATAGCCTCGAGGACAAGGAGCACGTGGGCCGGGAGGCACGGTGCCCACTATTGAGCCAAAAGAGCTTCCTCAGTAATGACCAGCTGCTTGCCATACCCTCTTATCTCAAGGACCACTTTTTGTGCCTTAATTTACCTAAGATCCATGAGGAAAAAAAAACACTTAGAATCAGATCAAAGCCTTGTTTAAGACTTTCATTGTGTTCCTGCCAAGGCCAACCAGGCTATGGCCTTTAAGAAACCCACAAATACCATCCTGCCCATGCTCCCCAGCAGCTAGTTTTGGGAGGCTTTCTATAGGCATGGATATTTAATTTGCTTCAGTTATGCGAAGTTCCAGGTGCATTCTGAACACATACAGTCCAGATACCAATTAATCAATTCATCTACTGAATGCGAGGACTGTGCCATATATCAGGGGTAGGAAAGTTATGGCCCAAACCTTCCAGATAATGTTTGACTACAACTCCCATCATTCTTGACCACCGGCCATGCTTGCTGGGACTGGGGGGGGGTAGCTGCAATCCAGCACACCTCAGTGCCCCACATCTTCCCTACCCATGCCTTGAATTGCACTTTACACACAACACATGGGGTTGAAATATCTTTCTAAATGAAAAACAGAGCTTCAAGGGACACCTGCCATCAGTTAGATTTTGCAAGGAGGAGGAGGAGAGGCAACTGGTATTTGTAATTAGTTGTCTTTTTCTTGGCAGATAAGAGTGTGAAAGCCAAAGTGAGTATTTACAGGAAAGATCTCGCTGTGAACTCTGTCCCCAGAGAGGATTAATTGGAGCAAATGACCTCAACAGAATACACTCTTCCAGCAGTGTTGTCTGCAAGAAGTGGGTGTGCCTAGCACAGGGGGAAAAGATGTAGAAATATCACAGACATGCCACGGGTGAATTATGGTCATTGATCCCAACCAGTTTTGCATGGCTTGAGGGCTGAACCAGATAAGATGCAAGAAACCCATATTAAGCTGTTGCTTGGCTGCTCAGACATGGGATACAGGACCAGGAAATCTACACCATGAAATGTTGTCATTCCTGGCACATTCTTTTGAGGAGGATAAAGGTGACTGTTCCATTGGCCATATCCTGTCCCAGGAATGAGGTTGGGCTGCCCAAAGCAACCAAGCTATCCCTTGAAATTAAAAAATGAGAGTGGAACAAAGTCTTGTCATTTAAAAAGCAAGATAGGTTTTCTTAAATTCATCTGTCTACCCCATCCCCAGGAGACAGATGGATATTCTTCTTACTTTGGGGAGGGTCAGATGACACCACCACCCCAATAAATCTTGAGGGAACAGACAACCCAGATTGACAATTAAAGGTCTGCTGGAAAAGAAGCATTTTTAAACACCAACACAACCCTCGGAGAAGCTGACATAAGGTGACCTTTCCAGGTAGAGAGATCAAAACAGTTCTCACAAAGGAGAGGGAGGTCCCCTATATTTCAACCCAGTAGACACTTCCGTTACTTTTTGGGATTACACAATAGTATTCTCAGTATAGGTACTTCCCAAGTTCCCTCCACCCTTTCTCAAAGAACACAAGAGACCAAGCCCCTGTTCTCAGCTGTTGAAAATCATCACAAAGCATGCACACAAGACGAATATGCCAAGTTACTTACCCTTTATAAGGGGTAGCATGGAGAGGCAAAACAGGGAGGGCAGGGGGCTTCTCATGCTGCAGAGAGGGCCCCTGCTTCACCTCCCAAGCAGCCTGGCAGTCTCAAACCGACAACCCTCCAGATTTGCTTCTATGAGAATCTAGGAACACACTGAACACGCAGACACTTCCTGGCAGCCTCGTGGGAGAATGTGGCCCAACCTGTCTGCTCACCCAGATTGTGTTCTGTCCCCTCCAAGTAAACACGCCCTACTGGCCTTCTGTCCCCTCCTAGCCAGACCAGATTTTGCTGTGGCAATTATAAGAGTTTGGGTAAATCAGATCGCAACAGCGAACTGCCACTTCTAAAGTGCATTTCCAAGATGGACAGAGGAAGGTGGGGGGAAGTAAATACATTTCGCGCTGTGTTGGCCTACTGATAACAATGCCTTACTTGTAAGCTTGTCCTTTCATATAGTATGAACATTGATGCAAACACTCAGAGTTGCACATTTGTTAGGCAAGGACTGAGAAACTGAGCCAAATAAATCACTGCAACAAAAAAAAAGTTGAAACAGCTTTGTTTTTCATTACTTATATTCATACAAATTTGGAGACTAGTATCAGCAGCAACAGCTGAAATTGAAGTTATACTTTTTCTAGAATATCTTGGATACTGTATCATGCTTATGCATTGTGGATGAAGGACAGAATCTGAGATATATAGATCAAGAATATATGGGGATATATAGACCAAGAAATCCTCTATTCACGTGCCTTTGTTTTTGTTTTATTCTTTATAATCTAAGGTAGAATGTACTCCACCTTCTCTTCTTTCCTCTAAACTAATAATACATATTTGGAATTCTTTTTTATTTGTGAATATCCAGTAATGACAACAAGAGGGCACCAGATGGCACTCATTTCACATCATTCTTTAAAGCTACTGTTGTTTGTTAGATCTAAATGCATACTGTAGAGTTTTTTCCCGATCTTAAAACTTTAAAATTAGTGTATTAATTAAGTAGACATGTTTGTTATTTACTAAATTAATTATGTTTACCCAATATGTAAAAACAATGAACATGTGCATGTTAACTGGAATCATTTAGTTTCATTTTCATCAAACATCAACAGATCACATTACTGAGAAGAAGAAGTATATGGGGCTTGGAGGCATTGAGTAAATTATCTGGAACCTTTACATAATTATGGGTATGAGTAAGTTGTTTATTCACCATTGACATGGGCACCCATGCAGGATGTGACCTAGCCACTTCAGTTTCACTGATTTATTCACTGTTTTACAAGTAACCTTTGAAAATACATATCTCATAAAGTATGAATAACAAAGGTATTCAGAAATTTACTTCAATTCGTTTTTGAAAATAAACCTTTCCCAGGCATGAATAACAAGAGTTATTTTTGAACAACATTTAATAAACTTGAAAATGACGTAGCCAGGTCACATCCTCCATTGGTTCCCATGCCAATGGTAAATTAAAACTTACTCATGCCCATAAAAATGTCACAATTCAAGACAATTTACTCCAAAGTTTTAACAAGATTTACTACATCACAGCCCACCTTCTTTCCTGCCAGTAATGAAAGAAACTTCAACAAGGATAAGCTTGTGGTCTATCTAGTGGCAGTTTACAGAGCATATATGAAACACTGTCAAGATATACACATTCCCCAAGGCCTGTTGGAGAGTCAGTATACTGACAAGGAAATGTGCACTCTTCCTTTTTCATGGACAGATTGGGTCCATTTCTCCCAGAAAACGTAGGGAATGTGCGCTAAGTCCTATTTGTATGCATCTGCGCCGTTCAGCTGCTCAAATTACCTTTAATGTGCCTCAACACTGGACCATGAATTAAGCATGTTTAACATTTGCCCACACCTGTTCCTCCCTATTCATCATCCTCTCTCCTTTTGCCTTCCCTATTACATTATTTTAGAATGTACTCTCCAGGGATGGTTTCTGCTATCTTTGCAACAGTGGAAAGGGCCGTAGATGCTGATGATGAAAACATGTCTACCCCTCTGAATAGAACAAGACCAAGGAGAAGAGTATTCTCAAGGTGGGACAAGCTGATTCTACAGCCACATGCACATACACCCCACACACAGACACACAGGCAGTTGACATTTAAAACCTCACAATTCAAATTTATTGTACATTTCCTTGAAACGACAATTTACACAATTTATTAGTAATGTATTTACAATGCAGCCTCATTTCTGTTTCAACATTCTGGAATAGAATCAACTCTAGTCTAATAAACAAAAGGGTGTTAATGAACAAGACTGCTCTGCAGGGCTATGTGAAAAGGTTTCCACAAAGTGGCATCATACAAGAAATAGAACAACTTTCAGGTGGACACACTGTTGGTTACAGAACTGTACTCAGAGAGCGTTTATTAATGGCTCTTTCTCCAACTAGGATGAAGTAAGAAGTTGGATACCACAAGGGGTTACAGAACTGTACTCAGAGAGTGTTTAATTAATGGCTGTTTCTCCAACTAGGATGAAGTAAGAAGTCGGATACCACAAGACTCATTCCTGGGTCAAGTGCTCTTCAACATTTTTGTTAATGACTTGAATGAGGGAGTGAAGGGAATACTGATCAAATCTGCAAATGACACAAAATTGAGTGGAATAGCTAATACCTTGGAGAACAGAAACAAAATTCAAAAGGTTTTTAATGAGCTTGAGCACCTGCAACAACAGAATAAAATTTAACAGGGATAAGTACATAGTTCTACACCGGGGGTGGGAGAAATGTACAGTCACAAGATGGGGGACACTTGGCTCAGTATTACTATGACTGAGAAGGATCTTGGAATTGTTGAAGATCACAAGCTGAATATGAGCCAACAGTGCAAAATGGCTGCAAAAAAAAGAAGAAGAAAAGACAAATGCTGCTTTAGGCCACATTAACAGAAGTACACTCTCCAATTCCATGAGGTACTAGTCCCCCTCTATTCGGGACTCATTCTTTATTTGGGAATAAATTTAGAAAACGTGAAAACTGCTGCCTCATACCAAGTTCTACCTTTATGGATCACATTTTCATTGCTATGTAACTGTACAACTCATGTTTTAAGAGAAATGCACCTGAATTTCTTTCACCCCACATGAAAATGCAAATGTTCACTAAGAAAGACAAATTGTTGAAACTGGAATAAATTATGCAAATCAAGCACATCTGCATACAAGTATATTCAATCTGCTTCCAATAGGTATAGGTCACATAACCCTCACTTTAAGTGGATGTGTTACTAAGGGTTAAACAGGAGGGTCCTCTTAGCTTATTCTTTCAAAGAAGGGCTCCCTCAAACAGTGAAAGACATCTGTTTGCCATAGTGTAGTATTCCCTCCACCCCCGTATCTTGCATGGAATGTAAACATGGGCTTAATCTGAAAGTCTGAGTCCCATATCAATTAGGAAATCTTACCATGGGACAGAGAAAAGGTTCATCATAAGGAAAACATCTTTCTCTTACCTTCTAGTTTGAGCCTTAGTATCTTTCCTTTGACACTGAGTATGATTCACATACTGTATTTTCAATTTATTGTGACATGGGATGGAAAACTGATAGCATTTCAGGGAAGCACTAGTTGTATTTCAAGGAGAGTAAAAGTGAAGTACAGTGGTGCCTCACTTAACGAGCGCACCGTACAACGAAGAATCCGTATAGCGATCCCTTTTTGGGGATCGCTATACGGAGCTGCCCCAATCGCCGCACTCGCTTTGCAACGATCGGGGCGTCCGGCGGCCATTTTGGAGCCGCCGATCAGCTGATCAGCGGCTTTTCGCGCCCTCCCCTTGCTTACGGAGGTCGCGAAAACGCTGCGGGGGGGGCGAAAACACTGACGGGGGCCATTTCGGGTCATCCGGCAGCCATTTTGGAGCTGCCGATCAGCTGATCGGCGGCTCCAAAATGGCCGCCGGACCACGAAAACATCGCTGGAGGGGTAAGTTTTGGCACCTATTGGAACGCATTAAACTAAGTTTAATGCGTTCCAATAGGCTTTTCCTGCCCCGTACAGCGATGTTTTCGCATAGCGAAGGTTAATCCGGAACGGATTAACCTCGCTATACGGGGCACTACTGTATTCTAGAGCAGGGATACCCAGCCTTGGCCCTCCAATTGTTCTTGGACTTCAATCCCAGAAATCCTGGCCAGCAGAGATGGTGGTGAAGGCTTCTGGGAGTTGTTGTCCAAGAACATCTGGAGGCCCAAGGTTGGGGACCACTGTTCTAGAGGACACTGGTAATCTCTTGCCCAGAATCACAATAGCCTAGATCCTGCCCTCTATTATACTATTAATCTTTCCATTAACAACAAAAACCAGACTTAAAGCGCTAAACTATGTGCTATCTAGATACTTCAATCCAACTTTAATCCCATCAAGGAAAACTGGCAAAACAAGTTCATGTTGAATGAAGCACTCAGTTCCTTATTTCCAGCTGCAAGATAGGCAGGAGCAAGGAAAGAATGCAGATGGAAAGTGGAGAGCAAGTGAATACTTCGTATGAGTTCCCTTCCCCTTGGACAGAGATGGGCACAACTCCAAACTGCAGGCCAGGGATATAACGCTGCAGCCAACCTGCAAAGGCAGAAACTTTGGTGTAGACACCAGGGCGATACGGCAAGCCACAGTCTGTTCCCCAGCTCACGATGCCCACCAGAAACCAAACGTCACTTTGAGCACACACCAAGGGCCCTCCAGAATCACCCTGGGAACAGACAAGCAAAAAACCAACAGGGAATAATTCACAATGCATTCTCTGTCTTCAGAAAAATACGATCACAGAAGATTCCCTTGGATCAGATGTGAGGCACCTCAAAACCTGTTGGAGATTTGCAACCTCGCATGCTGCCTCTAAGTAGATGTGGCTGGGAGGGAACCTTTATGGGATGTGGAGACTGCCAATCACTAACACCACTAACCAATAGTTCCTTCCCAAACTCTGAATTCAAAGAGAGTCACACCTCTTTGCTAAGAGCTTTTTCCCTCTCTTTGGTCTGTTGGTAGCAGTGACTCTGTTGACGCCTCTTGCTACAAGCAGTTATGTTAGCTTGCTGTTATCTGTTCACTGTAAGTAAAGAAGATGGTTTTTATTCTTTCTTTCTACTACTAACGTCTCAGAGTGAGTTATTGAGATTGTAAGTGCCAGTTAATAAGAAAAAGGGGTGGTCTACTCTGGGAAACATGAGGCAACTTTTGATCTGTGAATTCCTACATTTCTGTTGCACAGTTAAGGGAATTTAACTAAAATTAACCATTGCCAAAAAAATCTGGAGCCTAATCTGGTGCTATGATTTTTTCTTGATGGCTGTACTTCTTTTTTAGGATTTTGGAAGTGATTGGGTGCAACTCAGTTTATACTTGAGAAGACGCAGGTCTTTGCATGGGACAGAGGAAAGAAAGAGAGGACCTGGACTGTTCTTTGCCTGCTCAAATCTGTGCTGATCTTCCTTTGACTTTGAATTACCATTCTTACAATTGTACTTCCTTTCCTCTCCCACCTTCCTCTTGTCCCTCCAAGGGGGGTGACAGGGGCAGCCATGATACCTGACATCTCCAGCTTAGTTAGACAGAAACTAGGGTTTCTGTCACATTTCCTATCACAAGCATAGTTCTCTAGCAAACACAACCTTTCTTAATTGTTTTAAGTGTGGATGTGATTCTTTTACACAGGGGGAAATATGCTCAGGTAATGATTCCAAGCATTAAAGGGCTGAACCCACCAGTTAACACTGATCCTGTACTGCTACATGTTCAGGCTTCACCCTAGGGAAACATCATTTTGTGGTTCTCTAGCTTTGTATTTCTTTTCCTGCAACTAATGACTCTCCTAAGGCTTAATTATTGGCCATTAAGAGCTCTAAGCTACCACATGCTGGTATTTTGGATCCCATCTTTTTGCTTTCAGCCTATTCACCGCGAACTTCTCTAAAACCAAATTCAGCCCTCAGCCTGTAATAAGCTCCCCATCTTTGCTGCAGACCAAAGAGGGACCTTTAGCCAAGGCTCCCGTCCATTTTCATTCCCACAAATCCCCCAATACAGCTTTTATCTTAAAGCCGTTGCCAATGGGATATGGAAATGGTGATCATCTTGTAGCACCGTCTGTCACCCACGACCTTCACCACAATGAGGAAAAGTCTGTAACTCTGCAGGGCCCCACTGATGCAGAACAGTGCCCACTAGAGGGCGTTGTGCAGCAGGTCCACTTCAAACCAGAACACAATCCTGGCTTGTCTGATAATGGTTTCCCCCTCTGCCATTCAACAGTAGCTAGGAATCATAGCCAATGCCACAACATGCTTATGTGGTAACAGTTATGCTTTCCCAACCTCTGGGAACGGGTTGGGAAATCTGGAAGCTTTCAGAAACGTAAGGTTCCCTTCCCCCTCCCCAACACCAATTAAAAGGCACAGTCAAATTGCTCACCTGGCAAGCATCCTTCCCTCCTTCTTCATCTCCAGCACAAACCATACTATCCAAGATAGGCCTGGAACCATTCAAACCGGATTGGGGCACACTGAACATATCATTGCATCGTTCTGCACTAATGAGGGAGACTTTTACCTCCTGCAGTATCTTAGGGGAAGGAAGAGGCTCTAAAAAGACAAAACAGAGAACAAGGTTTTTAAACACTGCGAGCCAGAAGTGTTTATTAACACATTCTCTTCTCTATTCAGAAGCAGTTCCCCTCGAGTTTAGATCTTCATTGCTCTCAGGTGAGTGGGCATAGAGTCACTAACCATGACAGGCGGCATTGCTATTCCACTTTCTCCTTCTGTTCCAAGTGCAAAAGCCCAATTTTTATTTTGGAAGGATCACATCCAGCAGTGAACAAGGCCAAAAGTGGGGCCAAAGACTGAGACTAGCAACAAATCGTACCAATTTGCCTCCAAAGAAACAGCTTCCAGGCATGCAAAACCTTCCTAGTCTGCAAACAAGAGACCCTCTTCCATGCAAAACTGATCAGGGCTGCAAACCGCAGCTGATTTTCAATGCAAATATTCCTGGCCTCTAAATAATGTCTTATCTCTGCCAACCCATCAGTGATTAGAGATGGACAGAAGAAGCTCAGCAGGTCATAGGAGATACTGTATCTCTATTGGTGGATTCGTTCTGCAGGTTCCCCCCTTCATAGTATTTATTTCTTTGGAACAGTCTACTTTGCTTCCAGTAAAGCAAAACAACAACAACAACACCCTGTGCTGCTTATCTACCTCCCACTGGTGCTCAAAGTACTCTCTTAGCAGTTTATAATTTTTATTATGCAGGCTACACACCCACATACACAGCCCAGCAATCTGGGTACTCAATTTACCAACCTCAGAAGGATGCAAGGCTGAGTGAACCTCAAGCCAGCTACCTGGGATTGAACCCAGGTTGTGAGCAGAGTTTTGGCTACAGTACTGCAGTTTAACCACTGTGCTACAAGGTTCAGACAGTGCAGTTCTACATAGCTTCAGCAGTGTAGTTGCCGAAGCTATTTACATTTCCTCAACCAAGCTAGTTAACTTTGACCCACATTAGTCCTTTTTCTTAAGTGAATAAATTCATGTTTTCGCACGCAAATTATGAACTTACAAACGCTCAAGTGTGGATCCCTTCTTTGCTTCTCATATTAATTTCAGCTTTATAGCCTCCCCCACCTCCCTTGCAGGCACTCACCCTCATATTGGATGTTTCCCCATCCAGTTACCCAGCAAGCCATGCCATCAGGGAATTCTGTAGACAAATAAGGAAGGCACACAGGGAGGATGTACGGGGTATATTTTAGTGGCCTTTGAAGCCTCAACAAGGCAATGTCCCCTCTTGTTCCGGTCCTTCCAAATTCTATGTTGCGAATGACTTGGGTGACAGGGATCATCTCAGCACTGGAAGTTAAATTTCCCAGCTGGTGCTGCCCCAAGGTCACTGTCATATCTGGAAGAGGGTTCTGTCTGAGAAACACACAATGAGCACAAATGTGGGTATCCATGGCAGAAGGGTTTGACTGCCCTCTTGCCTACCTGGAATCCTAAACGTATTATTTTAATGCACACAAATGCACTATCTCGTAATAATGAGCACTGTGTTCACAGATTTACACTAATACATGGTGTAGATCATCTCCCCTGCACCAAAAATAAATAAATTAACTGTGGACCCCCTTAGAAACAAATTAATGCATTAACAGTTTGACAATACGGCCAGTTTTTGGGGTATACCAATTTAAGGCTGGTATTAGAGGTTGGCAACCATGAGCAAATGAATTGCAGAATTCTAAAGATTGTATAGATTTAATAGATTGTAGCTTTCCAGGGTTTTTTATGCCACACTCCATTCTAAGCGGTAGAAGACTTGGTTACTGATAGTAAGTGCTTTAAGTTACAATATGCATTGGATCTGCCCTCTGATTGAGAACTCATCTAAAATCAATTTGCTCCTAGGGCTGAAGGGGGATCTCCAATATTGTTCTTAAAAACTAGGTAGGTAACATACAGCCCACTTGCCCAGGGCAGCCCCCTGGCCAAATTCACCACTGAGCCACTAGAGTGTGCAGGTTTTTTTTTTCAGTTCTATAAAACTGTATTGTAAGGAAAAATGTGGAGAGTGGGGGGCTGTGGGAGTGTACGCAGATTTCCAAGGTAATGAAGATGGGGGTGGCAGACCTCCAGAATTTGCCTACACTTGCTCTAAAAGAAAGCCATCCTTGCCACTGCAAACAAACCCTTAAACCCAAAATATTTTGAAAATATCCATCAACATTGCTGCATCTTTGCAGATACTCACTTAAAGCAGTGAGCTGCCGACACTACCCACTGGTCTGACACCAGGGATCCACCACAGAAATGCTGCTTCTTCCAACGGACACTGACCTGCCATGGCCAGGCTCCGATCTTTGAAGCCTGACCACCCACAATTCGAGAAGACAACACTGGTTGACCACAGACTTGGGGAGAAAGGAAGAATATGGGAGGACATTACAACACAGTTACTGTTCATTGGATCATACTGACTTCCTGCTTCCAGTTCACAGTTTTGGTTTTAGTTCCTAAGAGCCAAAGAAACAAAAACAAAGGGTGCAATCAGGCAGGCATTTGTCCCACAGTATGGTCTGATTTGGGGACTGGCTGGTTTGCTCCTTTTCCTGATGACCACATGATATAGAAGCCATTGCAAACCAGCTTACATCTGATTGACACCTAACCACACGTTTTTGGGTGCCTGTCAGGGGCTACTGTTTGTTTGAAGTTTGGTTTGGTGGTGGTTTTTTTGTAGTATAAGTTTTTCCATTATGGTTTCACGTTTCTGGCATCAAACCAAAGTGGATGGATCAAGCTGCCCCTTTGGTTAAGCTGCTTAACTATCTTGAGAAATGGAAAACTTCCTTCCTGCTCCCTTGTGGAGGGGAAGGGAGAGGAATCTTTCAATTTCTTTTTCATTGTTGCTAAATTATTTTTAACCACAATCTTTTTAATTGTTGTTAAATTTGGTGCTGATATGAAGCCTAGTTCCAAATTTGTGGGGGAGGTTGGGCTGCCCCTATTTTAAGAATTGCCTTATAGAATGTTGATTTGCTCTACCAGTGTAAGAATACAGCTGGAGGATCATCTGGAACTGGGATGGTGCAGCAAGGGGAAAAGCATGGAAACTTGCATTCAAATGTTCCTTTAAGAAATACTGTTAAGAACAAGAAATGCTGTTGGATACAAGGACGCAACTCCAGAATTTATTTTGATGGCTTTCTTACCTGAAAATAAATCATCTGATCCTGGAAAAATATAAAGAAAAGGAAAGAACCCAACATTATAAGCTGAAGAGAGGGATATAATAAAAAGAAAAAATAACATTGTCCCCACTTGTTACATTACTTTTGCAATACCTTTGTTTAAAAAAGAAAACAAATTAAAGGTTGACTATATTCGCAAAGGCTTTCACAGCCAGGATCTAATGGTTGTTGTGGGTTTTTCGGGCTCTTTGGCCATGTTCTGAAGGTTGTTCTTCCTAACGTTCCACCAGAGCACAGGTTGCTGTCCTCTGAAGATGCCGGCCACAGAGACTGGTGAAACATTAGGAAGAACAACCTTCAGAACACGGCCAAAGAGCCCGAAAAACCCACAACAACCAATAAAGGTTGACTCATTATTTCTATGCTCCATTTGTTGATCTGTTTGCAGGCAGTCTGATTATATCATTTCATCACTTTTTTTTTCATTTTCCCCCTATCAAACTTGGCCCCTAAAGTACCAAAAACTATAACCATAACATAGCATAGCATTAAACTCAAGAATGCTACCATAAACCATAATTGCCCATCATTTCCTCAATCATAGGGCTATAGTATTAGAAGGAAGCTCTGAGGTCATCTGGTGCAAACTCTAATAACTAAAGGATCTGTAGGGCAGGGAAGCAATTCCAACATCCCTTACAAATAGTCACCCAGCATTTTAAAGTACCTCCACAATGACTTCTAATGAATTTTCTGATCCTGTGTGTCTTGCAACATATAGAAGTTCAACAGAAAATTAGGATTAGGGTTGGGATTAAGGTTAGGGTCTAGGGTCAAGGTTAGGGTCAGGTAGTCTTGTATTTCCTGTGCCCACTGACAATTTCATTGTCTTTGGCCACCTTTTGTATGCTCAGAGAAGTCATGATGGCCAACCCATTAGAGCAAGTGGGGCCATTCCCCACCTCAAGTTGAGGCTGCCCACAGCGGTCTTCCTGCCTGCCTACCTACCGTTGTGCCTGCCTTCTAGAAGCATAAGGGTTCTCTGTATTTCTACTGTATGTACAGTATGTATAACTGGTGTAGAATTTGTCGATAGGAAAATAAATGGATTTAGAGCTGCTGTATTTCATGCAAACTAACCAGCAGGGGGCAGCATTGAATATATATTATCACTCCATTATTTGAACTTTGCAAATTTCCATTTCATGAATGAAGCTTTTGGTTCAAGCTGCTGCAAACATTGGCATATGTGATGTGACTATAGTGTATCTTTTGTCTTTGGAGCAAAAATAAAAAGACCTGTCTCTTCTATGAAGCAGGCTGAAGAGTCATGCTTGAACTGTTGAGTAGCTCAGTGGTTTAGGTATCTGGCTGTAGAGCAAGAGATTGGGAGTTTGATTCCCCACTGTCCCTCCTTGACAAGGGCTGGACCTGATGATCCATAAGGTCCCTCCCAGCTCTGCTGTTCTAAGATGATGACAATATTAAAGTACACATTCTACAATATAGCCATCTAAAGCATGCTAAACAATGTCAGTTGTTTATAATGTTGTCATACGGCATGTTGTTTTTTGTTGCTATAGACAAAGTCCACCTAGAACAAAAATTGTTCTAGCTAATCTGTAGCTTTGTTCCATTGAGATGTTCACACACAGCCAATGTAACAGTGAGACAGAAATGTATCAAACATTTTCTGATGTATCAGAACGCTAAGGAACAAAAGCGTGATACTCAAATTGTCACCATATTGGCCTCCTTGTGGGAAGGTACTAGAGTTCTCCATAGGTTCAGTAAATACATGATATGTACCGTATTTTCCGTGTATAAGACGCCCCCATGTATAAGACGCTGCCACTTTTCTAATCCAACATTAAGAAATCTAAGTGGGGCTTAACAAGTGCAGGGGGAAAGGGATCAAAGCGCTGTAGGATCGCTTTGATCCTTGCTTTCCCCTCCACTTGTTTTTGTTCTCTCCTCAGCTTACTTCAACCCTCAATTTTTAGTCTATAAGACAACCCTCAATTTTTAGTCTAAAGATTTTAGACAAAAGTATAGTCTTATACATGGAAAAATATGGTACTTGCGACCACCACTAACCCTAGCCTAACCACGCTGCTATATCAAGTTTAATTCTCACTACAATGGAATTTCAGTGATAGTCAGAAAATATCCCAGGTCTCTCTAGTGAAAGTACTCCACCCTCCCATCCTGATGTATGATGGCTAACCTAACCCTAGATAGATGGAATGCTTGGGGCAACAATAAAATATATACCTAAAATTTCCAGCTTAAAAAGGATACCATCCAGGAGATATTAGGAAAGTTTTCCTAGGCAGAAACCTTGGAGAGCTGATGATGGATGGGATTGACATAAAGGTTTGGATCATTAATGATCTGACTCATTCTAGAGCAGAATCTGGACCATCTAAGCAGAAAAGGCCTGTCTGGTAAGTTCAGACATGCAAAACACACATGGTAAGTGTTACACAGGTCCTATCCTGAAGACACCTATACATCAGGGGACTTGAAAGGGGAACATTTTACATCACATCTTACATTTGCAGTAAGAACCATGATTGAGAGACAGCAGAGGTAAGTTCAAGATGCCCCCTCATTCTAAACTGTACTGTATTTATATTTAGCACCTTTCATTTCAATTATATTTCATTTCAGTTAAACAAATAAGTAGCGGGGGATGTTAAGAGGGTATGTGAAATGGGCACACTTGCCCCAAAGCAAAATAACTCTTACTTATTCAAAGATCATCTTTTATACTCACTGTTCATCCAGAGCAGCATCAGAAGCAGCAACAAGATGGCCACTATTTTTCTGGCCATCACACTAGACTCCTCATTCTTCTCTAAGAACCTCAGCAGTAGGGAAGGAATAGACAAGCACAGAACATGGCTAAATTAATGAAAATGTCGAAGAACTTCCCCCAAGAAAAGGATACAATAGTTTCTCAAAAGCTGAAAGAACCCAGAATCCAGTTCAAGTTGAGATTGATAACCTCCCCCCCCCAAAAAAAATCAGATTCCCTCTTTTCCTAACCATTTACATTAAAATTGACACTAAGAAATGGAATCTCAGCATTATGATTCATTTCCCTTTTTTAACACACTTGCCAACTCAGAAGGGTCTCTGCACCCTCTGCTTGAACCCACTAACAACTGATACCTTAAATTTGTCAAAATTCAGAAATGCTGGATTTTGGGCTTTACAATTGCTAAATAGCCTTTCTCTTATCACAAAATTTAGCAGTCCTGCTCTCTAGCCAGTGTACTCTAACCGAATCCCCTAAACCTCTTCTTAAAAGAATGGAGACAGACCTCCTACCTTTGGTCTTTACTATATCCCATACAATTTACTCCAACCTGGACTCCTGTGGTTACACAGAAAACCCAGAGGCACCAACTCTTATCCCCATTCCCTTCTGTAACCCACTAGATCCCACTGCCCTTCATGCTATATTGTCACCGCTTAATAAAGGCTCTCTATAGGTGTCTTCCCACCTTCACCTTTCCTCCACCAATCATTCAGAAGCTCAAGATGAGCCCTTAATGCTTAAAATGGGAAGGAATCCAAAAGAGGTAACAATGAGTTACAAAAGAAGGTTCACCTTACCCCCCAACAATTGGATAGGGATTAAGGTGGAGAGTAGGTAGAGGAAACCAGAGGAAAACAAAATGTGAACAGCTTGAGGGTCTGGGTGGATTCCCATTGGCAGACTTATGAATAGAAGGGGGGGTGTTCCTGAATGTAAACTGTGATTATATGTACTTATACGGCTAGGCTGCCAAATGACCAGAGGGGTATGTGTAATCAGTTCAACATCTTACATCATAAAACCAGTTCTTACCTGTCCAAGTCCTTTCCTTGTATAAACATTAAACAATCCACATTTAGGACAATAATAATAAAGCTTATATAATACTAGAACTGCAGAGCTGAAAGGGACCCTATGGATCACTGAGTCCAGCTTTGGTCAAGGAGACACATTGGGGAATCAAACCCCCAACCTCTGTCTTGCAGCCAGATGCCCAGACCACTGAGCTATCCAGCAGTTCTATTTAATTATCATTTAAACGTTACTAAGGAAGAATAAGGCTGGCAAAACATACTTTCAGAGAGACATATTTTGAAGCAAGACTAAGTTCATCTGACTTAGCCTCCAGGACACTCCGTTTGACAAAAAAGAAGTAACAACGAACATGAGCAACAAATAGGAGACATAGGAGCTCAGTGGTAGAATACCTCTTCTGCACATAGAAGGTCCCATGTTCCATACAGCGATGTTTTCCCGTCCAGCCGTTCCCCACTTCTGTTCATGCTCTAGAGTGAGATTGGCCAGAGCTTCAACTTGGCGCCAGCAAGCTCAGAGAGGCCCCCAAAAGGGGTAACAAGTATATACAAATATGAAAGGATTAACGAATAAAACCGAGGAACTATTCGACAAGCCATACAAATACAGATCGACGAATATTTGACAAATCGGCTATATTCGTCAGAAAAACTGATCCGTTTTTATATTCATCCCCATCTCTAATCATAAAGCAAAGCACATTATGTACACATCTTTCTTCAAGTGGGAGGCACTTGAAAAATAAGTGAGGAGCATATTATCTAGTTGGGCTCAATATTTAATAACCTTTAAACTGCAGAGCTGGACGGGACCATACGGATCATTGAATCCAGCCCCTCTCAAGGAGGGCACAGTGGAGAATTGAACTCCCAATCTCTAGCTCCACAGCCAGAGACCTCAGCTACTGAGTTATCCAGGAGTTCTTGTGGATAGGTAGCTATTTGTGCCACTCTGTTACAACTCCTTCAGAATTATGGGATTGCTCCTAAACTCTGGTTCAGTACTTAGGAAACCAAATAATCACCACCATAGAATTCTACACTGAATATCTGAGGAAAATGATTCCAAAGGAGATCATCAACTCACTGAACAAAGGAAGATGAACAAAGACTTTGGCTCACCTGTAACCTGCGAATGTTATTCATCATTCTGGATTGTACATCTGATATCAACTGTACTGTACAGATGACTTCAGTGGTGTATCGTATATACACCGATGGATTTTGAAGGGAATTACTGTAATAACTCGAGAGAGCATTTCTTGGAATCCACAATAATTGACAGCAATGGGAATAGCAAACATCATTTGCCAAAACAAAAATTGAGGAAATGGAAACTGATATTGCACATATAAGAAGACAACAGGGTGATAGAAATAGAGATGGGGACATCGCTCAGACTTACTTTTGCTCCCCATCCAAATGTTTGCATTCTCCTTCATCCTTATCAAAAAGTGAAACATGCACATTTTGATAATCTCTTAAAAAATGAACTGAAACAAAACAATACAAAATTAAATTCTGCCCCCATTCATCTTGATTAAATTCAACAGGTACAGCTATCCCCAGAGTGGATGGACCATATTACACCAAATAACTTTTTACTTATGAAGAGTGCCTCTGGAAGGGAAATGAGTCAACAAGACCAAGTCACCATTAAGATGCTTGAGACTTAAGTGGGGGGGTCAATCTATAGCTCCTCAAAATCTCCTCCAGATGCTCACTTTTTCTCTATCACATTGACACCTCTAAGTACACACGGCATTATTATTGAGCAATTTCATTTATGTTGGCCAAATTCCTGTAGCTTTCCTAGTTAGCATAGCTTGCTAGCTACACAGTCTTCTGATCGATCCCTGGCTCTGAGAAGTCCTTGAAGTCAATGCAGTGTAGAAAAGAGGGCCAGAAAAATTGTCTTTGCCATGGCAACTTCCTCCATCAATCCCTAGCTCAGAGGACCCCACAGAGATAAGATATTATAAGAGGGGTGGCCAGGAAGATCTCCTGTGCCACAGCACAGGCAATTTTCCAGAACATCCTTCCCACAGGGCCTTGGCTCCCAGATCCCATTGAACCCACTCAGTGAAATATATATATACCCAACTCAGAGGTAGTTTACCATTCCCTTCTTCTGGGAGCGCTCTGAGACTGTGAACCTTGTTCAAAGCTACATACTGTGGGCTCGTTGTTGCCACGGTGGGCACAATGGGGAATCAAACTCCCAGTCTCTGGCTCCAAGCCAGATTGGATACCTCACTGAGTTATCCAGCCAGCACTGCAAGAATATCAAGACTATAATTGTCAGTGTGGACAATGACCTAAGAATAGAGTTGATGGGAATTATTTATTTATTATATATTTATTTAATTTATATCCTGCCCATCTAGACCAAAGTCTACTCTGGGTGTAGACTTTGTTTTGTTCTTACATTTACCTTCTTACAAGGTAAACGTAAGAACAAAACAAAGGGGAAAGAGGTCATCCGCCCCTCCTGAGATCACTGGAGAAGGGGCGCGAAAACACTGACAGGGGGCCATTTCGGGTCATCCGGTGGCCATTTTGAAGCCGCCGATCAGCTGTTCGGCAGCTCCAAAATGGCCGCCGGACGCCCCAATCATCGCAAAGCGAGTGCGGCGATTGGGGCAGCTCCGTATAGCGATCCCCAAAAAGGGATCGCTATACAGATTCTTTGTTATACGGTGCGCTCGTTAAGCGAGGCACCACTGTATATTTATTTAATTCATATCCCAACCAACTAGACCAAAGTCTACTCTGGGTGGCTCACAACACTCAAAAATAATAAAATAAAACAAAACAACAACATTAATACAATTGAAGATAGCAAATAAATTAGGTACTGACAGGAGGGAAGGCCTGGCTAAAGAGCCAGGTCTTGAGTTGGCTCTTAAAAACACCCAGCGAGGAAGCAAATTTCTGGGGGGAGATTGTTCCAGAGGTGAGGGGCCACTTCCGAGAAGGCCCGCTTTCTTGCTCTTTCTCTTCGGGCCTCCCTCAGCATTAGGCTCCCTCAGCCACCTATCTTGACTAAAGTGAATGATTCTACTGGATCTAGGTGGCATTCCATCAGATATTGAGGTCCTAAACCGTTTAGGTCTTTATATGTCATGATTAGTACTTTGAAATCAGTGTGGAAACGAACAGGCAACCAATGCAGGGCAGCCAGAGTACGGGAGATCTGGTGTTTTCTCACCCCAGTAAGAAGTCTGGCTGTCACGTTCTGCACCATTTGAAGCTTCTGCATCAGTCTCAAAGGTAGCCCCACATAGAGTGTGTTATAGTAGTCTAATCTTGAGATTATAAGTGCATGGACCAGAGTGGTGAGGGCCCTCACATCAAGATAGGAACGCAGCTGGGCAATCCACCAGAGATGGAAATAGGTGGTACAGAACACAGATGCTGCCTGGGCCTCCATGGTAAGTGCCAGGTCAAGATGTACCCCCAGATTGTGAAACAAATTCTTTGTGGTAAGAATCAGAGCCCCACAACATCTGTAACGCTGCCCTGGGCCAGGAACAAAAAGCAGTGAATTTCTATGCTCTTCTGCCTGACTTTACCCAGCAACATGGCAGGGCTACCCCACTTTACAGATGTTGTGGGGCTCTGACACCCATTAGATCCATCCTTAGGTCACTTACCTTCCCTCAGCCTGATATACCGCACAAACTAAATGTAAGAACAAAACAAAGGAGAAAGAGGTCATCCGCCCCTCCTGAGATCACTGGAGAAGAGGCCAGATAGAAACAGAAACTTAGACCCTAATAAAATATTCCAGCACACGCTTAGTACCTAACAACCTAAGGAAGAAAAGATTCTTGTAATTGAGTTGGGAACTTGCTTGCTTTGTTTCTATTTGTTGGCTTGTTTGGGTTTCCATCCAACATGCCCAAATGTAAAAACCCACACAATAAAGGAAGTAAAATAAAAACAAACAAAAATAGTCATGCTGGACCACGTGAGCGGGTGCTGTCCACAGGTAAGCAATACTGCTATTAGGAAGAATATCAGCTAAAGGTGCAAGCTTTTAAGACCTGCACCACCATATCGTCACAGGCAATGCTCCTGTACTTTGCATTCCATAGTCTGGGGGCAGCTGCCGAAAAGGCCCTTTGTCTACAAGCCGTCCCTCTTACCTCCTTGAGGGATGGCTCTTTCAAAAGGCCCCCCTGGCTAGATCTTAAATAAAATCTTTAAATAGTTGTTGCACATCAAGTCAGTTAATCATACCTATTAGTTCTCACTGAAAGGACAGATCCTGAAGCTGAGGCTCCAATACTTTGGCCATCTCATGAGAAGAGAAGACTCCCTGGAAAAGACCCTGATGTTAGGAAACTGTGAAGGCAAGAGGAGAAGGGGAGGACAGAGGACGAGATGTTTGGACAGTGTCATCGACGCAACCAACATGAATTTGGCCCAGCTCCAGGAGGCAGTGGAAGACAGGAGGGCCTGGCGTGCTCTGGTCCATGGGGTCACAAAGAGTCGGACATGACTAAACCACGAAACAACAACAAATTAGTCCAGTCAGCAGTTAAAGTCTGAAGTCTGCTCACATCCTGATTAATTTTTTCCAGCTTATTAAACTATCTGCAATACATAGAAATAGATTATCTGAGATTTTTTTACAATTGGGCAATTGAAATCATATTCTAAATCCATCCATTTTCATACTTCAATCCTAATAAAACTTAGTACTTACTAGGCACTATTATGGTACCAGAAGTCTCATGTCAATCAAAAAACAACAACAAGGAAACAAATTAATTAAGAAGATTGTGATGTGCTGAATGTGTAAGATTATTAAAATACCAAGGTTTCATGGAGCAATCAAAAGGGAGGTGCAAATTTATCAGAACTGTACAGCCATATAAATGAGCAAATGGCTAATTCCAAAGGCCAAGAAATTATTTTATCAAACCTTGGTTCAGTACAAACAGAGGCAGAACACAAACGAGAGTCCCTTTTTAGCTGAATGACGTTTTCCACCATCATCAAGAAGCCCAATTTGAGCTCATTCAGGGTGCAATTAAACAGCAGGGGGAAATGCAAATGGATCCACTGTAAAATCACACAGGAGAGGTTGGCTGAAGCAAATTCACAGGAGTCAACAGAGAAAAAGAGAGGAAATTGCCAAACATTCTTGCTTGCAGTTTGTTAAGGTAGTTCTGCTGTAGCTGTTCAGATTTCCAAGAGGCACAGTTAAAGTAGCGGTCAGTTTCCTGTTGTCGTGCCTTTCCACTGTTGTTGTAGCCTAGTTGAATGGCTTCAAACAGAAAGCTATGAACTTCAGTGGTCATATCAGCTGAACTGATGTGAATACAAAAAGAAAGAAAAAGAGAGTGTAAAAGCCAGTGGCGGAGGGGTCAAATTAAGGCAACGTGGGCTCCAGGCTGACTTGCATTGACTTATACATCATGTAATCAATGAAAATAATGGGAATTGGACCATATCAACCCAGAGGCATTTTCTGCATTATTTGTCATTGCAATTACACCCTCAATGTGATGGAAACAATCTTCTCAGCCAATGTCTTTGCTCAGTTACTTCAAGCCAATGTTCCAGGAACCATCCCTACAGCATCCCAACAACCTTGGGTTTCATCACACCATCACCCTACTTCTTGCATGTAATTTTCAGGGGGCTTCACACGAGATAATCTTCCACTCATAACTCTCCTTTCTTTTCTCCACCTCTTCTTTCATCTTTTTTTCTTACTGTGGAAACGCCATTCACGAGTAGCTCCTCGGTACTGGCATCCAGATTGCTCATGGGAGAAGACCTCCATCTTGAAACACCCGAAGACACAGGACCGAACTGTTAGAAGTGCTCAGTGGTGCAACAATATTGGGGATATTGTATAATAGTGGAGTCGGAGTAACTTTAGCTCTTCTCTCTTTTGGGTGGTCCTCTCTCCCTGTTACACTGACTCAAGAATGTGCTTCTTTCCTTCTTTGTCCACTTCTCCTTTTAACAGCTATTTCCTCAGCATACAGCATGCTAGTGTAGCAACAAGGGTATCTTTCCTACCCACAGTAGACCTCCTGTAATAAAGCCTTTTCTTTAATCTTAAAATTGTCTCTTTACTCCTTAATCAGATCCACAAGCAGAACTGTACACATCTTCCCTTACAAACTACACATTACAGTCCAGAAAGAACAAGAATAAAGGCATGTGGTCTCCAAGATTACAC